TGTGGTGGCCAGGCCTCAAGAAGACCCAACCAGGCAGGATGATCCCAGCATGCCACTGTTCTCACCACTGAGTGTTGAGAAACTGGACCACATTCCGAGAAACAAGACCCTGGTGCTGCTCAGATAGCCCCAACATTGCCCATGGGGCTGCAGTGGAGCGTTCAGGAAATGGCATATTATACACTTATTGGGGTTTGTTGCAGAAAAATAAAATAATTCCACTGTTTATCCACCCAATACCAGTCTTTTTTTTTTTTTTACACAACTGGGGATTGAACTCAGACCCTTGCGCTTGCCAGACAAACATTTATTCTACTGAGCCACCAAGTCTTCACCTGGACCCAAATCTCTGACAAACAAGATAAGAAAGCTGTCTTCCAGGGACAGGACCCTTATCACAGACCCAATTTGCCTTAGCATCTACCCCATCCAGTTTGAAAAACTTCTATAAAGAGCTGTTCATGGTTATATGGCTTTGTTCACCCTGGCCGTGGGGATTTATATGGGTGGGCCAAACAAGGTGTCCTCCTGTTCAACACTCCTTACTGCCCAGGCACATCAAGCAAGTTCACATAAGGAGAATGGTTAGGAGCAGTTCACCAATGCCATACTGTCCTGGCTAAATCAGAGCCCGAATCACCTTGTCTTCTTGCTCAGGGAAGCAGCATCACATCCTGCAGACTGCTCTTCCCTCCCCACTGTCAGCCTATAGAGGATTCTTGGGCTGTCCACATTGTTCAAAAGCCAGTGAGCTTCTGTGGAAGTCTGGCAAGAAGCCCATTAACAGGAGGGTGCTGTGACCCCACTCTCTCACCTGTGGTGAATTTATTTAGTTATTTTATTATACAGGGAATCCAATTCACAACCTTGTGTTTGCCAGACAGACACTATTCTGCTGAGCTATATCCCCAGCAACTTCCGAGGTCATTTTTGAGGCCACTGCTGTTGAAGATTTGTCAGTTACAAAGTTAATGCAATTTTCTGTACTGTTAAGGACCCTGCTTAATAATGAGAAAAAGTTTCTTTGAAGCAACCCAGAACTGGCCATCCTGGCATGGCAGCCTTATCCAGCCAGAAATAGATGGCAAAGATATCTTTTGACTGTTTCTGTGTATTTGAGCTGTCCCCCAATCACAGCAGATGTGGCTTGGTGAAAAATATCATATTTCTTGCAAGACAGCTGAGGTCAAATACTCTCTTGTTCTCTTTGCCTCCTTTAGTCTGGTGGTTAAACCGGGAGATAAACACCTCTTGGATACCTCTCACCATTGTTTAGGCTTCACAGGTCCCAAGGAATCCTGTGTGTTTGCTTAGAATCTCCCCCTCCCTTTCCATCTTTTAAGGAGCTCAGATTTCCTCCCCTCTCCTCAGAAACCTTGAGGATGTTTTGCATCTGGAAATCTTCTAGAAATCTGGCCCCATAACTGGGAATTGGTTTTCTGATTGTAGTAGAGACCAGGAATCCTGAGAATTGTCCTTGGTGTGAGCTTTAATGGATCAGGAGACTGGAAACCATAACCAGCTGGGACTCTCTCCTGTTCATTGAGGGCTTCCTGGAGTAGTAGGTGGTAGAAGGAGAGAGTTTTGTGTTTAATGAGGGCTGAGTGCTTTTCTCCCAGTGCTGTTAAGATTGGGGTGGGGTGAAGTGGCCTGGGATGCCTAGTGCTGCTTTGTTTTGTTTTGTTTTGTTTTGTTTTGGTTTTGTTTTGTTTTGTTTTGTTTTAATGGACTGAAAGCATTTGGAGATTTTTGTTTCTCTAACATTGCTGAAATTAACCTTTTTAAATAAAATAGTTACACAGATACATTTTTAAAAATCTTTTTAAAAGAGACAGTCTTTACTGGATCTACATCCCTGAGCAGGATGGATGGAGATTGCTTTTGTTGTCACCAAGGTTAAAAAGTTAACCCTACACACATTTGGTCACAAAAGATTGCTGTTTCAAAACAAAAATGGTGAGCATGAAAGCATCATAGGCCATTTGGTTATGGTGCTGGCCTTCATGACTTTGATTGAGGCAGATGCCTCTCTCCTTCTGCAGAGACCAGGAGGCAGGGCATTCATTCCTCAGGTGGGGCATTTATGTTTCAAGTGTGTGTTCGTACCATGCCTGTGGGTTTGATCCCCAGCACCTGCCCTCTAAAACACAAAGGCTATTTTCCTATGCAGCAAAACTGAAGAAGCTGCATATATTTTAAAGGGGTAGGAAAGGAGTTTATGACTGCAAGTTTTCTAATGTAAATGCCCTAAAAAAGGGGAGCTTGGGACCTAGAGTTAGGAAGAAACCTGCCGAAAGATTAGCCAAACTGGGGAGAATGTTAAGGTCATCTTGGCCCCCCAAGGCAGTCTTTTATAAATGTGCCCTAAGATGCATTCCTACCACCTTAAACCCAGTGATGCATGAACCTGGAAATTTCAGGTCCCTTCTTATGAATAGCCCATTGAAAATTGCAAATAGATGTTTCATTTTAATGCTTTCAAGCAAGAATACTTTCATTGATTAATTCAATAAGCATCTGTAAAGTGTCTGCTCAGTGCCAGCTACCATATAAGGCATCACAAGGTGGAAACTTCCCCATCAGCAGACCTCATGGTACCAGAGGAAATAGGTGAATAAACAGATTTTGGGTATAATATGAGAGTGTCTCAAAATATGAAATGTGGAGTTTCCATACAGTCCAGGTAAAAACCCAAGCGCAAAGAAACCCTGCCCAGACAGAAGCATGCATCCAAATGTGCATGCAAAGCAGCACTTTCCATAGTCACCAAAAGACAGAAACTTGATGGTCATCAAGTGATGAGTAGATAGATAAACTGTGACTATTTCCTATTATTCTTCAACAATAAAAAGAAATTAAAAAGGAAAAATAAAAACTAGAAAGAAATAAGAAACTGTTACATACTTCACCATGGATAAACCTTGAAAAACTTACACAAAGTGAAAGCATCCAGACATATATCATGTGATTCCATATAGCTCAGTAGAATAAACGCTTGCCTGGCAAGCTCAAGGTCCTGAGTTCAATCCCAGTACCACCAAAAAATAAAAAATAAAAAAAATAAATAAATCAATGCAATATGTAGAAGAGGCAGCTCTATGGAGATAGACAGAAGAGCACTTGCCTGAGGCCAAATGTTGGAAAAATGAGAATGACACTTTGTGAGTGTGAGGCTTCTTTTGGGGGAAATGAAAATGCTCTAAAATTGTGATGACTACACAATCTTTTAAATATACTAAAAAACGATTGAATGTGGGAGTGTTGTATGTGCATGTGTGCATGGTGTTAGGAACCACACCCAGGGCTTTGCACATGCTAGGAAGTGTTCTACAGTGAACTACACCCCCAATTCCAAAATGAACAATTTAGATGGTCAAATTATATGATGAGTACATTGAACCTTCAAAAAAACCACAATAACCTTTTACACACCTATATATAAAACATGTGAAAACAATTTCAGGATTTTCATCTATAGAAAGGAAGAACATGGAGGTGGAATTAGGTAGCTATCAAAAAGGAAGTGCAGGCTGAGATAAAGCTTAAAGGACCAAGATTTCCAGAGCCTTATGAGCACGGGAGCTTCATTTCCATGCCAAGTCCTAATGCCTCCACTTGTGCGTTCTGAGTCTCCTGCCACTTTCTCCCAGGCTGCCTCTCAGAGAATACCATGAGGTGGGAGGTTTTTCTCTAGGGTGTATTGCACATGGGCTGTCGCTAGACAGCATTCACCAGATGATGTGACCATGGAGAAGCTGGACAGGTTTACACAGAGCTATGAGCTCAGTGACTAGCATAGGACCTGGAGTGAAGCAGGTGTTGGATTAATATTTGTGGTTGAAATGAATGGAACTGAAAAAGATACAGGTGAATGTAAAGTGCCAAGGATGTATGAGGTGTTTCCCACACTTACTGTTTTACTCTTGGCCTCTCCCTCGCTCAGGGATGTGGAACTAATCTGATGGATCATTGTTGCCCTTCCTCAAGTGTGTGGCTCCTCACAATAAATAAATAAATGCCATTAACATTTATTTCCCAGTCAATGATCAAGTTCAGGTAGGATGTTAACAGCCAAGTCCTATAGGAAGGGAGCTTCTGGTGGGTCCAACCCAATGGTTTTGGATCTAGTGATAATCACCATTAGAAAAATTCTAAACAGTGCCCAAAAGATAATTCTTCAGTTAGTAATAAAGTATTGAGGATGGCTTATAATAAATGACAATGTCAGAAACACTGGCCAAAGGGACTGTGTGTTATAGTTCAACAGCTACAGTTTCATTAGTGACCCTACTTGTAAGACTTTACTTGCCCTCTCACATGAGGAGGGTGTGTGTGTGTGGCTCTGAGGAACTGTGGTGAGCTGTGGTCTTTCTCAGTGCTTCACCTTTCCCCCACCCCTCTTCAGAGGAAGGCAGGTAGACTCTTCCTTGCTGTCTTTAAAGGATCTATGACCTTCAAGCATACTGGTCTATGCCTGCTTGCAGTGCTCATCAGCTGGGGACAATGTGTTGAAAGAGGGGTTCTCTACTTATCATCAGAATGGCCCACAGGCCTGGATGAGTGTTGCCAAGTGGGCATTTCAGATATTAAGGTCTCTCCTTGCCTGAAATTTGAAGGAAAATCATCCTCACTCACTGCTCCCCTCTTCCTCCCTGTCCCCATATGCTCCTGCCTTGGGGTCAGGTGTTCTGACCTCTCTGGAGCAAAAGCAAGGCATACTTTGAAACCTGCCCTTGGTCTCAGAATCCTGACTCTTAGGCTAGGCATTCACAATGGCAAACTCCTTGGGTATAGGTGTTGAAAAGGCCACTTCAAAACTAGCCCATCTTGGAGCCTGGGCAAGCTCTGCTTCTGTAGAGGTTTGCCAGGTGCCAAAAACATCTCCAGTGCTCCAGCCAGGAGCAGCCAATGGAAACCACAGCTAGGAACCCTCCCACTCCCCTAGTGGCATCCAAGCCTCCTGCCTCTCTCTTCCCTTTCTCTCTCCTGGCCTGGCTGACTTAGAAGTGAGGACTGGGCGACTGGCAGCATTGGAGGCTGCAGGACACCTCACTTGCCCTGTGGATCCTAAGGGAACCTCAGCCCCCACAAAGATGACTTGGAAACAGGTCCTTCTCCTATCCTGCCTCTCAGGGATGGTGCTCCTGTCTAGTGAGTATGGGAACGTCCAGGGTGGGCTTGGTTTAGCTGAACAGTGAGACTTACACAGGTGAGTCTGCTCAGGTGATGCATAGGAGTGTGATTATGAAAATGGCCATTCTAAGTGTGTGTGTGTGTGTGTGTGTGTGTGTGTGTGTGTGTGTATGCAGAAAGAAGTAGTGAAGAAGGGAAATGCCACTTACCTGGTGGGTTCCTGGGGACATGGGTTCTTTGGCTGGTATGTGAGGGACAGAGGGTTCCACCTCATGGGACATTTGGAAAGCCACAGACTAAAAAGAGCTCTTAAGGCCTTGCCTGGCATCTGGGTGCCCTCTGCTGCTACGGTCTCCTTTCCTTGTGTCTTTGCACCTAGTGCTTCGGGAGGGTACCAGTGCATCGGTGGGCAGCAGGCAGGTGGCGGAAGAATCCCAGCATGGTGAGTGTGGGATCTACTCCAGGGTATAGGACTTCCCTGGCTCCTGTTCTGATTTTGATGGGCTTCTCTTGTCTTTCAGGTGTGAGACAGAAAATTTTCATGCAGGAATCAGATGCCTCAAATTTCCTCAAGAGGCGCAGCAAGCGCTCCCCCAAATCACGTGATGAGGTCAATGGTAAGGACACTGGGTGACCTTTCTCCAGCAGCACAGAGCCAAGCATTCAGCTGAGGCCTGGGGCATCAGGGTAACTGCAGCACCAACAGAAAGATGCCACACTCCCCTTAACTGTGGGTTGCAGCTTGGGCTGAATGTATTCTTAGCATGTGGAAGGAAAAGGAACAGGGACCCAGCCAATATACCTAACGGTTATAGTATCCTTCCCACTTCAGAAACAGGAAGGCGTGGGCTGGCCAAATACCTCAGTGGATTAAAGCACCTGCAAGCAGGTGCAGGGGCCAGAGACTCAATCCCAAGCCTCCCATGTGGGCTCCACCCCAGGTGCACACTGAGACAGCAATTAAGACTGGACCTGGTGGCACGTGCCTGTAATCCCAGCTCTTGGGAGGCTGGAATCACTACAGGTGGATCACTACAAGTCTGATCTAGCAGTGAGACCCTGAACATCCTGTAGACACTTCCCTAAAAATTAAAAACAAAACAAAACAATAGGAAAGTGTGGAAAGGGGAATAGTTGTTCTGGTCTAGAGAGCACAGTACTTTGGAGTGTTTCTGGGGACTTTCACATGAAACACCAGAGAACAACATGTGGCATTCAAGGAAAGAACACAGTGCAGAGCAGTGCTGAGAAGTGAGGTGTGGTGACAGCTGTGCTACTAAGCGGCCTTGGCCACTTCCTCCCCTGGTCCTGCTTTCCTTATTTCTAAGTCCCTGAAAGGGCTGTGTCCAGCCAGCAGTGTTTGTGAGGGTTTTAATTTCCAGGGCACTTGGGTTCACAGCTGCAGGGACCTGCTGCCCTTGCCGGCATGTGATTTTCCTACTCTGAGCTCAATTGTTCCAAGACTGACCTCCAGTGGCTCTGGCAGAGTGCGTGGCTTGATCCTCTCCTTGTGCATATGGATGAATGAATTCTTTGTATCCTGAGCACAGAAGGCAAGGTGACTTGCTCTGTGGAAATAACAAGACTGTTTTCAGGGAAGCGCTTATTCCACTGAGCCATCTCCCCAACCCCAACAAGACTATCTTCAAATGATGGACAAGAACAGAGATAGAAATGCCTGGGGATGAGATTTTATTTTTTAATTGTCTAAGTTATAACCACACTAGAAAAATCTGCAGACTACACATAACTTGAGGTTTAAAAGTCAGTCAAGGTCAAAAACACTAAAAAGCTGTGATTGGGTCTTTTTGATTGTTATGGTTCACTTTTTGTTTTGAGACAGAGTCTCATTGTAGTCCAGGCTGGCCTTAAACTTGCTACACAGCCCAGGCTGACCTTGAGCTCACACTGCTGCCTCAGCCTCTGAGTGCTGGGTCACAGGTGTGTGCCACTACTTCTGGCCTGGTGGGTCAGTTTAAATGAAGTCAGAGAATCAAGTGAACGGACTTCTGGGGGAAAGAAAAACTCTTTTTTCTCTGAAGCTGACTCAGAACAATGAGGGAGCAGGTGAAGCCTGAGGTCCCCCACCCTGGCCAGCACTCAGAGCCTTGGGCACTCGCAAGAGACCCAGGACAGCTCGTGAACACTAGGCTAGCTCAGAAAGGCACCTCCAGTAACTTGTCAACTCCTGTGGGTGGGATGGGGCAGTGATGTTTCAATCTGTTTGAATTCGGGACTGGGAGATGAGGATGACATGTCTAATCTCTGGGATAAAGGCTCAGGTTCCTTTAGGGTAAAAAATGGTTGTTCCTGAGAAGGGACTGACACAATGCATACAGGGAGACATGATATAAAGAGGTCATTCCCCTGCCCCCAAGAACTAAATCTTTCTTATTCATTGCTGCACCAAACGTTCTGATCTTGGCACCTCTGCAAAGACACCTTGGGAAGGTTATTTCCTTTTCTGTATGCATAGGGGCTGGAAAATACCTCTTTAGAATGGGTCTTGGTGCAGAAAGCACCGACTTCTTATGTCCAGAACCCTACCCACATGGTAGCTTTCCAGGGCTTAGAGCAACCTTAGGGCCCCAGAAGGGGGAGGGCGTCTGCCAGTAGTGGGCATCTGGGCTGGCAGTGGGAACCTGGTTTACCAAGCTGCAGCCTCAGCCCTGCCATGCCAGCTGTGTGGTCACCACACTTCTGTGAGCCTGCAATTCCTCCTGAGAAAATGTGGGGTACAGAGATAGACTGAACTATGTGCTACTTACACCAGACAAACCCAACCTCGGCTGTGTGGGTCCAGGCAGAAGTCAGGAAAGAAACACAAGACTCACCTCAGGCATCCTCTCTAAGCCCAACACATAGACACTTTGATGGTTAATCTATTAAATAATACAAATGTAACACAAATAATGAATATTTATATACAGTGGCACCTTGGTTCATGAACTTAATTCTTTCCATGATTCTGGTTGCGAACTGAATTGGATGAGAGCTGAATCAAGTTCGACGTTTCAGTTCAGGTTGACCTTGTGGGAAAATTTGATTTGGTTTCTTCCCTCCCCCTCCCTCTCTCCTTCCCTCTTTCTTTCCCTCCACCCCTCCCTCCATCCCTCCTTTCTTTTTCAATTCCTTTCTGGTATTGGGGATTGAACCCAGGGGTGCTCTACCATTGAGCTATATTCCAGCTCTTTTTATTGTTTAATTTTAAGACAGGGTCTTGGTAAGCTCTCAAACTGGCCTTGAATTTGTGGTCCTCCTCATGCCTCAGCCTGCAGAGTGGCTAAGATTGCAGGCGTGTGTCACCACATCCAGCTGCTCAGATTTTATTCTAGCAACTGTGGTGTGTAGTGAAACTTTTCTTCCTCCCTCCTCCCTCTTCCTCTCCCCTGCTCCCTCTTTTTTTGGTCTGTGCTGGAGATCATACCCAGGGCTTCACACATGATAGCCCCTGAGCCACACAATGTCAAGCACTGAAATTTGCTTTTATATCTTCCATCTTCTTTCTTAACTGGGTAGTAAGCCTCTTTTGCAGAAAGATAGTATCTTTTGTACATGCCTTTTTAGTCTCAGAGGTAGCCCAAGTCCTTGCTGTGAGAGGTGCTCAAAAACACTGAGTGGATTTATTATGAATGAGTGTGAGATTACCTTTAAGTAATTAGTCCTTTATGGCACTATGTTTTTGATCATGAGGTTTCTAGTTTCTAGGGGCCTGGTAGACCTGGGTCACTCCACTAAGTTTATGCATGAGCTAAGCTAAGGCATTTACCATGGGGGCCTCAATCTTCTCATCTGTAAAAAGATATAAAAGGGTGTAAAAAAGGTGATCTCCCAGAACTCTCACATTGTTTTCTTCTTCTTTTCTTTCTTATTAGTACATATTTGCAGCATAGTCCCTTTTGGAGCTGGTACACATCCGGACCATTTTAATTCCTGTTTCTCTTTCCCTTCTCCCCTCTCCCTCCATCTCTTGATCCCCTTCCCAGGTGAGAAAGATGCAGCTCTCTACTTCTCATTTTCTTTTATTTTGTTATTTATTTAAAATTTGGGTTTCTGATCTAAGAGAAACCACAGAGATTCCAAGTGTTAAAGTCTGTGTCACCAGGAAACTGCTTCAGTGAAGTTCCCAAGCCCAAACCCTCACCAGGCTGATTCAGCTTCTCCAGGAAACTGCTGATGTCTCCTAATGGTGTCCCCTCCCTGCCATTTGCCTTAGACAACTGCTGCCTCTTCCTTTCACAGTGGAAAACAGGCAGAAGCTGAGGGCGGATGAGCTGCGGAGAGAATACTATGAGGAACAAAGGAATGAATTTGAGAACTTCGTGGAGGAACAGAAAGATGGTAAGTGCTCCCTAGCCAGCATCTTGGGGACATGAAGCTTTACAGGGAAATCCCAGCCTTTACCTCTCCTTCTTCACCACCTCTGATTTTAACTGGAGGAGGGTGATAAGGTGAGACATATCTTCTGTTCATATTCATGGGAGACTTGAGAGGAAGAAAAGGAAGAAAGGAAGAAAGTTACAAAACCAACTATTCTGAACCTGAGAGGAGACAGAAGAGCATAGGGTACTTATGGTTTTTTGGGTTTGTTTTTTTTTTTTCATTTTTTTTTTTTTAGGGAAGGGTCTACAGGGTCTCATTACTAGATCGGACTTGTAGTGATCTGCCTGTTTACAGCCTCCCAAGAGCTGGCATTACAGGTGAACACCACCACACCCAGTCTCAGTTGCTGTCTCAGCATGCCCCAGGGGTGGGGCTGACTCAGCAGGCCCAGGGTTTGAACCCCCAGCCAGAGCCTGCTTGCAGGCACTTTAATCCGCTGAGCTATTTGGCTGGCCCTGGTTGCTTATGTTATCATGGTTCAAGAACAGGAGTGACAGATGAGGGCATTGTTTGGTACCTGTGTGGAGATAAAACTCTCTCCTCTTTCTTCCTATCAGAGATAATGGTAGCAGACTTCGGTCTTCGCTTAAACACCCTAACTCATGGCTTGTTTCCAGTGTGATGGGGTGGGTTTCACAATCCCTCACTTACATCAACATAATGGCTCTGGGTACTGCTTCACCCTGGAAAGTCAAGGCCTCCATTTACCTATTCACCATAAGCAGCATCTTAACTCATTGGAAGAAACCAACCCAAAGAACTGAGCTCAGAAAGTACTGGTACTTCCTGTCTTATATCTTACCTACCAAATACCCAAAAACCCCACATCTCTGGCCCATCTTGGGCTACAGCTCACCCAACAGCATCAAGCTGCTTGAAAGTTTTTGTATGACCTTGTGGTAACTTCACTCATCCACCATAAGTGTCTTCTTTGCTAAGCCTTGGCCAGTCAACAGAGCGGGAATGAAGTGTGTCCATCTGACCAGGTACTGATACACCTCCTTTCACCCTCAGGGGTCCTGCAGCTTGGGTGTAGGTGGGGTTGGGGGTGAAAGAGGAATCTAGCTTTGAGCCAGTCTCCTCCTGGGTAGGGTCTTCCCTTTCTCTCTAGTGCCCTAAAATCACCCACAACAAACAGCCATAGGAATGCAGAATGGGGACCAGACCAACAAGTATGTGGGGGGATGTGCATGTGCTTATTTCTCTTTTTATCTGTCTCCAAATTAAAGGCTGAGATGCTCCTGAGCAAAGCCACCTGGTTCCTCCTAGTGCATATGAGCTCAGCCAGAGCCCAGCTTGGGTCACTTTTGTTGGAGAAGGTGGGTTCCTCTCCCACCTGTTGACTCCACTGACCTGGGAAGTAACATTCTCTGGTGAGAAGCCGTCACTAAAGGTATCTGCCAGTGAAGAGGCAACATACCTGGCACCAAGGCCTGGAGTTGTGCCCACTGACCTGGCTGAGCCCCATAAAGAGGTGCTGGGCTGTGACCCTGGAAAATCAACCTTTCTTGGGAACATAATGGGAAAACTCAGGCTATCGTAAGACAAAAGTAAATACTATTACAGATTTGTTTCCCTTGGTGGACAGCTTGATGAGAGCTTGCTCTTTTTTGTTCTTATTTTTTAAAAGTGGCTTCCAAAATTCCTACAGTGTGAGTTTTACTCATACTACTCACAGCAGCTTTTTTTGTGTGCATTATTTCAGGTCCAAGTCTTTAGCATGTGGGCGAAAAGTATTCACTGTTTTATCTTATCTTAGTTACTTGTCTCTTGTTACTGTGACAAAATATTCAACACCCAAAGTGAAGGAGGAAACATTTATTGGGCTCACAGTTTGTGGAGGTTTCAGTTCATAATCTGATGGTTCCAAGGCAGGGTGGCCCATGGCAAAGGGATAACAGTTCATGGTAGTGGAACATATCAAAAGCAATAAGAGCAAAAGAGGAAGAGGAGAAGCAAGCCTGTTTTCCTCCCTTACACTGTATGCAGGCTACCTGCCCCAAGGCGCATGTAGCACTCACACACCAATCCCAGTGCTAGACAATGAACCAGTCACAAACTCTAGATTCAGCTGCCTCTGAAAAGCCCCTTGATCACAGGAGGCTTTGGGGTGACATCCAGATACAAACCATAACAACGAGTCAAGTTATGGGGTTAGGCACACATAGGATGACAGGTCCTCTTAGAAGATACTAAGATCAGTGTCCTTAGGCCTCACTTACACTGATTCAGAAGTCCTTGAGGAGCAGGGCTAAGGCCTTTAGGGACTCTTCTTACATCAGTGATCAGGACAAAGCGCTTGCTCTGTGAAGCACTGTACTGCACTGTCTGAGCCTAAAGTAGTTCTTGTACTCTCGATTTTAGTTTGAAAGACTTAGGCCTAGAAAGGACACATGCATACTTAAGATGCCATACAAGTATGGTGGCCCAGGATTGGAATCAGGTCTGTTTGCCAGCACAGCTCCTACGCTTACATAATCAGGGACAATCACATGCATCGAGGACTCAGACATCTCTGAGCCAGGAACTGGCCCACACAGGCAGATGAAGTGAGACAGTAAGACATAGTACTCCTCACAGGAGCGAAGAGGCAGGCAGGTCTAGGCCTCCTGAGGATGAGGAGTTGAAACAGGTGGAGCTCACCTCAGTGTGCTTTGCCCCTGCCCTAGAAGGTCTGTTACAATAGCTTGATCACCCTGGGCCATTCTCAAAGCACCCATCTTCAATGCCCTTCTCTGAGCCCCCATCAGCCTTTTCAGTCAGGACCTGATCTCAGGTAGCCTTGTCTGTAAAAGCCAGCTAATCTGAGACTGGTTAGTGGTAGTCAGATGCTTGACCTCTACCAAATGACTGGCTTCATTACAAGAGTTGCCAATCAGCTCCTATTGCCAGAAAACACTCTCAAAGAGGAGTTGGCTCCCTGATCTTTGGAGATGTCCAAAGGGATGGTCAAGGCTGCAGCCTGGGGCCAGCTCTGAGCTCTGGGCCATATCTGGGGAGCCAAATACACTACTTTAGATTTTCAGCACCTTGGGGAGTTCTTACCCCAGGCTCCTGGGGAAGGGAACACCACCAGCAGTGATGGGAGTTCCTGCAGAACCCTTCCTTCTGCACTGCGCGTCTGTTCCCACAGGTGCCAAGGGCCATGGGGACAATGCCACCGGGCCACCTGTTAGCCCAAGATCATGGTTCATTAGCACCGAGATACATTAACCAAGATACAGGTTCATTAGCACCAAGACCAGGTTCACATTTGGGAAAGGAAACAAAATACTTTGTTTTTAATCCTCAACATCATTTTCTGCTAGGAATTCTCATGAATTTTTTTTTTTTTTAACTTGGGCCAGAGAGATAACTCAGTGGATTAAGCGCCTGCTTAGGCAAGTGTAGGGACAGGGGTTTGATTCCTGACACTACATACCATGCCAGCCCTGCCCCCTGGCAAGCTGAGCTGGGCACCAAGCCTGGAAGTAGTGGCATGCACTTGTAATCCCAGTGCTGAGAAGGTTGAAAACAGGAGGATAACTATGCTGCATAGTGCGACTCTGTACCAAACACATAAAAAAACTTACATAAAAATAAAGAAATTAAAGTATATATAACTTATTCACTATTCTAACCATTTTTAAGTTCACAAGTCAGTGGCACTTAGTGCATTTCCAACATTCTGAAGCCATCACCAAGGAGAAACTCTGTATCCATTAAGCAATAATCTCATTCCTCCCTGCAACTCTGGTAACCTCATTATTTTTTGTTGATGAATTTGCCTATTCTAGATACTTCATATACACAGAATATACAATATTTGCCTCATCTTGCTTTTTTCCCTTAACACAATCCTTTCAAGACATGTCAACATTGTAAATGTAAACCATAACTTTGTGACTTTTACGGCTAATACTCTTATGTTTCCATTTTTTTATATTTGCACATACAGCACATTTTCTTTATCCATTCATCTGTGGATGTCATTTTGGTTGTTTCCACCCTTTGGCTACTGGGAGTTGTGAGGCGCTGTACTCTCTCTCTCTGAGTTCTTGTTTTCAATCCTTTTTGGTATATTTTTTGGAAACAAATTTCTGGGCAATAATGTCACTTCTTCACACTTAACTTAGAGGAGTCTCACAAATGCTTCTCAAATATCTGAGGCCTGTGCTGTCTGCCCATTTTCCATGGCTCCCTCTGAGACTCACAAGCACCTGTGCTCTGTCTTCTTCCCCATGGTCAGAGCCCTCTTTGTCCTCACAGTGACTTGCTTTTCCTCCCCAGAGCAGGAAGAAAGGAGCCGGGAGGCTGTGGAGCAGTGGCGACAGTGGCACTACGATGGGCTGTTCCCTTCCTATCTCTACAACCGCCACCACATCTGACCCACTCCTGAGGCCACCCGGAAGGATGGAGTGCGAAGCATCCCCAGCCACCCTCGGCCACTGCATCCCTTTGAGGGTCCAGCATAGAGGCTGCCACATTTCATGGTCCTAGTTCATCCACACCTTTCATTCCAATGGCTTCCCAGGCCCTGGCTTCAGCTCCCACATGGATTGTTTCCTGAGGTGAGCAGCTGCCCGTGGCTCCTCCTGGAGCAAAGCACAGTGCTGTTCCTGGCTTGGCCCTCAATCCTGGGTCCTCAATTCTAAGAGGACAGGCACAAGAACCACTGGAGGGAGAAATGACTTCTTGTTTGCTCAGAGCTCACAAATAAAGATGCTGAACCAATCACAGGTGTCTTGTCTCCCCTGACTGACAAAGTTCATCTGGAGGATTTGTGTTTGAAAGCTTGTCCTTGAGAAGCCAAGCTCACTCCTCTGTGTTTCAGTAGTTCACCAGTCATGGAAAAACAAAACAAAACAAAACAAAAACCAAAAACTTGCTAATATACCTGTTGTGGTAGAACATTCTGGAGAACTGAACTCCAGCACTTATTGATTTGTATCTCTGAAGATCCCTCCCTCCTCCCTCCTTTCCTTGGTCTCTGTCTCCTCTCTCTCTGGAAGTACTGGGAATTAAACCCAGAGCCTCATGCATTCTGGGCAAGCAAGCACTCTAACACTGAGCTACATTCCAGTCCTTTTTTTTTTTTTTTTTTTTTTTTTTTTTTTTATGATTTTGAGATAACGTCTTGTTTAGTTGCCCAGGCTGAGTTCCCACATACAGTCCTCCCATCGCAGCCTCCTGGTCACAGGCATGTGCCATGACACCCTCCTTCTGGCACCATAAGAGGTCAACCATGATTTCCTGGGTTGCCATAACAACATACTACAAACAGGATGGCTTTATCCCAGCTACTCAGGAGGCTGAGGCAGGAGGATCACAAGTTTGAAGCCAGCCTAAGCAACTCAAGGAGAGCTGCCTTAAAAAAAAAAAGAAGAAAAACTGAAATAATTTTTAAAAATTAATTTTATTGAGAAACAAATAGCAATGAGACAGTTTCAAAACTGATTAGTAGGGGCTGGAGAGATGGCTCAGTGGTCTAAAGCGCCTACTTGGAACAAGCTTGGCAAAGTACAGGGACCACGGTTCGATCCCCCAGCACCACATGCCAGCCAGCTGCGCCCCCTGGTGGGCTGAGCTGCCCCCCCCCACAATAAATAAATGTTAAAAAAAAATTAAAAAATAAAAAAAAAACCGATTAGTAGGACAGTTTCAATAATTAATACATTGCATATTGTTGTCTTCATAGTGGTTATTCAGAGTACAAAATGTAGACATGATATCCTGTCCAAACACTATTAGTAAAAATCCTTCTTTTCATTTAATTAAGAGAAAGTAGCTGTATATCTATCCTATTTGGTATATACAGATACAAAATGGTCCTTCATTTGTATCTCCTTTTTTAAAAAACTGAAAGAATTGAGGCTGTAACAGACATAAATAACAGACACATGACTTCCCTCCTGTGGGTCCTTGACCAGCTCCTCCAGCCTATTTTCGAGCTTGGGCCTCTAGGGCATAACAGAGCAACTTTGATTAGGGATTGCTCTGAGGTAAGCTACCTTAATTGTGATATAGTACCCCTCGGGATGGGAGGATTAAGTCAGGCCACTGTAGTAAGTGCATCATCTTTTAAGTTATTTTTTAAAAGCTGATAAATGCTTTTTAAAACAGTGTAGTGATTAAACACAACCCAAATCGTCCCATATGTCAGTCAGGACTGTTATTTTCTCCTATAAGCTCCAAACAAGTCATTTAATTTTAAGTTAGGTGTTAGCAGTGGAAGAAACTGGCATATAGTAAAGAGTTTGCAGATTTCATTACTGCTTTTACTTTCCTTATAAGAGGATTGCTTGGTAGGAACAAGTATTTCCATGTTTTAAAGCATAAATCTTGACAGAGGTTGCTTAGATGGTCTGAGGTCACATCTTAAAGCCAACTGGCAAAAACCACTGGTTTGAGTGGAAGAGGGCTCTGACAGCAATGCACAGGAGGCTCACAAATATACTGCTACTTCCTGTCCCTCTCCTAAAGTGACAGGTGAAGAAGCCTCATCAGACTAGTGAGACACCCATCAGTTGAAGAGTATTTTCATTCCATTTTTTGTGGTAGGGGCTCCTCACAGCACTTAATCACACCAAGGTTAAGAAACCTAGGGAAAACACATTTGTCCCGATGTGTGTGTGTGTGTGTGTGTGTGTGTGTGTGTGTGTGTGTGTACACCCTTTGGGGGGATCAGAAGGCAGGCCATGTGCAAGCAGATCCCACCAGCAGTGGGGCTGCCAACACACATGAAGTTGGACTTTCATCACAGGAAACTGCCCTCTGGTTACTCAGGAGCCAGATGCCAAAATAGGCCCAATGACCTGACCCTTCAGTTGCCAACTGAGAACAACAAAGTGACTTTTAAAATGTAGTTGTCACTTGCTATCTGAGAGGGAATGGTTTCAGTATCTTCATGGGTACCGAAATCTGGGCTTGAACTCCTGGTCCTCCAGCCTCAGCCTCCCACTGTACTGGGATTACAGGCGTGTGCCACCACACTTACCCTTCTGTATTCCTGAAATTGTCTCTAGGGTACTTATGATAGCTAACAATGTAAATGCTATGTAAATAGACACTTTGTTTTATGTTAGGAAAAAATAGCCAAAGTGTGCATATTTAGTACAGACACATTTATGTCCTAAGTATTTGTGACCTGCAATTGGTTGGCTCCCTGGATGCAGAACACGCATACAAAGGGCCAAGTGTACTTCTACTCCCTGCCCAACTGTTCAACAGGAAAGGGCAAAGCCCTGCTCACCGCCTCCGGCTTAGAAGCAGAGACATGATCAAGTCCCTATCAGGATGAATGACTCCTGCCATACCCTCAGGAGCTGGTCTTTCCCAATGCTACTGAACAGGTGGGTGGCAGCAGCTGGATTCTGAGAGCCACACACATGGTCACCTGTTTGCCAAGTCTGTGACCATATGGATGCTGAACACCAACAACGATTTACAAGAGTATCTAGTTTTAAAAAGGACAATACTAAACTAAACAGCCTGTCTTCACTGTCTCTAAGGCCAGGATTGACAGGTTGGCTAGATAAAGAATCTTGGCAGAGGGGCTGGGCAAGAATTCCATTACCTCGTTCACCCCATCCTTCACACAGGCTCCATTATACTCCATAGCTTTCAAATTCTGCCCAGAATTCCTCCACAGAAGCCATGTGCAGTCATTTCCTAGTCCAGGAGGAGGCCAAAGGCAACACAATAGGAATCTGAGCAGCCACATTTAATAGGAAATTAATACAGCAATTTGAATTTCTGGAGAAAGCATTGCCAAAAGTGTGGCCTGTGGGACATTCTTGTTTACTTTTCTTTCTTCTTTCTTTACTACATCTTTGTTTTTTGTTTGATTTTTTTTTAGAGATACTTTGTATTTTCAAAATAGCAATAGTTTAATTAGAAAAATAAAAGCAATGGGATTCTCCACTAGGTTCTAAAAGTACCCATGAATTAAGCCACACCTTCCACTTAAAAAACAAGATAAAACCTTAAGTCACGTTGCTATTGAAATTTCTTACAGTAAAGAATAAAACTGAACTATGCTGAACTACAAAGACCTAAAGTTATGAGCATGAAAATAATTTGACTAGACATTTGATTTATTCAAGCATTAGGCTTACTGAACACAGCTATGGAAGAGGAAAAATATTTCCATCCAGTACTGTAAAGAGGCTGATCCATCAGACTGGAATCACTAAACCTCTGAGCCAAAATAAACCTTTTAGGGCTGGGGCAATAGCTCAGTGGCATTAAGTGCCTGCCTGGCAAGAGCCTTTTTTCTCTATAAATTGATTTCTTCAGGAGTTTGCTATAGTAATAGAAAGCTAACATTGTGCCCAAATAACACACAATTAGACATCATTACCACTTTTGTGTGATTAATTATTCAAAAGTAAGCATCATAAACCTGGAATTTGTGAAGCCTAGGATTGAATTGTCTTCTCATGGTTGAGCCCACTAGTCCTGATAACACCGCACTAGGGAATGTGCCAGATGACATAAACCATGCTACTGTTCGTAGAACAGCTTGTCCAACCCTACTCAAAACACTTATAGAAAAAGGAAGTCCTTAAATGCAGAATAAAGAACTCTTACAATGCAAACTAAAACCAAGATATCACTGTGCAATGGCTAAAATGAATAATGTCAAATCGAGGTACTGCAGGTCTCGGGAGCAAAGGCAACTCACACTCATTAGTGTGGGAAATGCTGCAACCACTTTGGAAAGTGTCTTGGCAGTTTCTTATAAAGCTAACAGACACTCATCGCATAGCTCAGATTCATTGAAGAGACACAGAAACACTTCCACCTGAATACGTGCAGCAGTGTTAGCAGTGACAGCCCCAATTTGGAAACAGCCCATCTCATGTCCAATTGGTGAATGAGCCAATGATATGGCACATTCATACAATGAAATGCTCAGCTACTGCACGCAACAATATGGATGAGCTTCCAAACTACTGTGCCAAGTAAAAGAAGCCAAAAAACAAGTTCAAGCCAAACAGAAGTTCAAGGTGAACCTGGACAACTTAGCAGGCCCTTGCGTCACTAGATGTTATTTAAATTGCTGTGCATATCATACTGTATTTCTATCAACTCTGCAGAAAGCCATTTCAAGTCAGCTTTGCCATATTAACAGCCATATTTTTAGCATTGCCCCATTTTTACACTCATATTGGAGATTGGATCTAGGGGCTCTGCACTGAGCTACATTCCCAGTCCAGGCTACTTCACACAAGGCCCTCCTGCCTGGAGAGTGCTGGGATCACAGGCATGCACCGCTGCATCATCCTCCTGGAGGTTTTAATGTTCCATGTTTGCTTTGGGAAGGTCTACACAAGTCATCCAGGAGGGCCTTTCCTTTGGCACCACTCATCTGCTCCCACAGGTGCCAAGGACCATGGGGACATTCCCACTGGATGAGCTTTCAAAATACTATTCACTACTCTGGATATTGTTATCTCAAACACTTGGCTTCCTTTTGTTGTATGGTAAAGGAAAATACGTATCATCTTAATAAATCTAAAGACAAGGGTGATTTTCTGTTTAAAAACATTATCTTCTCTAAATAAAAAAGGCAGGGCAAAAAATAAAAGCAAAAAACAGAGAAGAAACTATGATGAAGATTGTAACAGCCTGTTCCTCATGAAGGACATGGCCATGTTCTGTAACTTAGCTTACTAAATACCTCAGTGATAGGTTAAGAAATAAACAACTGTTGAAGTGGAAAAAAAAAAATTAAATATATTTTAATTAAAAGGATTAAGAACGATTTCGCTGATGTTAATCACTTAAGACATGAAACATACCAGTGAGAAGAGATCACAGATGCTCTCCATTTAAAGATGATCGTCATGGTTTGGGAGTTTTTGCAAGGGAAACAATAGAGGACACATTTTATAGTAATATTTTAAAATGAATCACTCAAAGAACTATATACAAGTTCTGGAAACCTATCCACACACTAAACGCTGAAGAATCCAGGTGAGAGCCTAGAGCTCATAACAATGCCTCCCGCAAGTCCAGCTGGAGGCCTAGAGTCCACAACAAAGTCTTATGCAGGTCTACTTCACGGATCTGTGCTGGAAAGGTCCCAAGGTCAGTGGTGGAAGCTAGGAAGTCTATGTCAGTGGCATGAAGGAGCTGCGCTAGCAGGCTGAAAGATCTGAACTGGAGCTAGGAAGTGACACTCAAGGTAAGCACCAGAGCTCTCCCAAAAGTACTACAGCCATCTTTAGCAACAGTGAGATCCTGAGCTCTTCTACCAATGAGAAAATCCAAGTTCCCATCAGGAAAGCCAATGCAACAAGCTTTTTTCTTGAGGCTGAGGAGTACATCATCTTCCCCTCTGGATCCAGGAAGTGATGCTCAAAGAGAACAAAGTTTCTCCAAAGTTCATCAGGAAAGCCAGCATGACAAGGTCCTGAAGCAGAACAGCCCAAAAGAACTTGCAGCTTCCAACAGCTTCTCCAAATAGCATCCCTGACAGTATTTTTGCAGCTTCTTTGGTTCTGCCTTTTATGCTGCTGGCACCAACCCTGTAGTGGGCCTCCCACACCTAGAACACTAGTTTACTTCAGCTGGGTGTAATAAGTTCACTACCAGTTAGAAAACCCCTACAAGATGTAAAAGTTTTCCCATAGGAAAGTGATTGTTCCACTGAACAGTTAAGTTTATATAGCGGTGATCTATGTTGTATGCACTGTCGTTTTCAAATTTATGAGACACACACAAGTCTATTCTAAATGCACCATGAAAAATACTGAGGTTTCAAATGTTTTTGACTAATCATCACTTTATTCTTTGTTTTAAAGACAAATTAAAAAATAACAAAAAAAGCACTGCTATTAAGAAGTAATCCCAGGAAAGTACAAAGGTCAGATGCAGCCCCTTCTGTCCATACAGAGCAAGAGCAGTTTTATGAAATCTTAGGACATATGGATTTTATTTTTGGCTCTTGAGAACCTAGATCAACTATCTGCCATAACGACCTTCTGTATGTGCTGTAACATAAAAACCATCTTGGAAGAAACTATTTCCAGCTAGAGTTCAAATTCCAGGACAATAGTCCCACTGACATATCCAACCTTTATGTAGTCCCGGCATTCACTTACATCAAGTGCTATCTGGAAAATCAGGTTGTCCAGGCAGAGGAATCGCCTATAAATTTTGTTTTCATTTCCATTGTGTTTGACTGCTAAAATTCTTGCTGTAACGAAGTATATCTGGAATTCCCAAATTTCATGTGATGGTCTCTTTAGTTTCTGTTTAAGGTCATGCTTCACAGCATTTAAAATTCTGTACCTGTTTTGGTTAGAGGTGTCAAAGTTTCTGTCACACTGAGATGAATTCGTATGTACAAATGATGAGATTTTAGGCTTCTGCTTTACAGAGCTCCAAAACATTGTAAAAGCAGAGACTACACTTTAGGGCAATATCATATGGAAAAGTTACATATGCTGATGAAAATAAGTTATATTTGTAGAATTTCAGGGCTGAAAGATGTATTTCACGATCATTTCATCTGATCTTCCTAAGTTTACACAAACAGAACAAAGCCCAGAAACTGAGTGACTTAACTAGGGTGGGGATTAAGCTAAATTAATGCTTTCGCCTCCAGTGTCCACAGAAATGGGGCACTTTGGAGCACACCCTCTATACATAAGACCTGGCCTGGCCTTTACCTTCTGGTATATGGGCCAAACTCTGAATGCAGCAGTGCAGTCCTCTGAAGTAAGAGCAGGAAACACCATGGTATCTTGATTTTTCCAACATTAAACTTGGTGTCAACCATAGTGGAGATAACAAGAAGATGGAGCTCATGGGCTTAACAAGCACTTGTTTGGGGAGATGGCGATCAGGAACACAGGCACCCCAGGGCCGAGCCATTGCTTTTTGTGTCACAAGCAGCAAGGGAGACTGTGGGACAACCTCTGCGGCTAGGGTCATTTAAGGCTATTTAGGAATTTGCCATGTTCTTCTCCTCTTGGTAACAGTGTTTCTCCTCCTATCTTTGGACCAGTCTTTTCCTAGAAAAAAAATAACAGCACCTTAGTAAGCTGGTTTGATATTACTTGTCTGGTTCCCTGAAATTAGCTACACATTAGCACGTAAACAACATAGTGTTTAGTTTGGATCTTGAATGTTCCTCTATAGGCTTGTGCTCAAGGCTTGGCTCCCATCTTCTCGCACTGGGAGGTGGTGGAACCTTTAACGAGTCAGGCATAGTAGGAGACCTTTAGGTCCCTGGGTGCCACTCTTCAAGGGGATATTGGGGCCCAGGTCTCTTCTTCTGTTTCATTCTCAGTCATAAGCTACATGGCCCTCTTCCATGTTTCCATTATGATGGGCACTATCTGGCCAGAAGTCCCAAAGCAAAGGAACCTAAACAAACCTTTCTTCTTTTTAAGTTATCCTAGGGATTTCATTATAGTAACAGAAAGCCTAACACACATACCTTTAGCATTCCATCCCGTTCCCATTTGTAGAGGCCACAATTACTGAAAGAAAAGAGATAGATTTACTCAGTGATGAGGTACAGGCTCACACATAAAATAGGCTTACTGTACTTATGAGGAGGAATATCCCTGGAAGCAAGGAGATGATAGGGTGGTAGTGCAGATCTGTAATCCCAGCACTCTGAGAGGCTGAGGCAGCAAGATCACAAGTTTGAGCCAGTCTTGGCAACTTAGCAAGGCCTTGACTCAAAATGAAAAAAAAAAAAAAAAAAAAATTAAAGTACTAGAGATGTAGCTCAGTGTGAAGGACTGCGTTCATTTCCCAGCCTTGAGGTAGGCAGTAGGGGACTGCTCAAGGCGACCCTTGTATTATAGGCCATATGTTAGGTTACACTATAATGTCACAATTTATGCTCCAATGATGTGAGAATGGGTCTTGGAGATTTCAGATACGAAGCTGCATGTGGGGGCACTAAAGGGCTACATGCACTGGTGGTAATGAATGAATTTGGCCATAGATATCATTGATGCCATTGGAAAGAGACCATTTGACATCAAGAAACAAGAGCAGGGCCAGAGAAAAGTACCATATTTGCTATGGGTGCTACCTGCACGTAGAAAAGCATCTTGCTCTAGCATTTATGAGTTGTGCTTACTGCTTATCGTTTTTTTTACCTTTTATTCATTTAATGAGAAATTATAGGTTAGTACGACAGTTACAATAATTAATATATTGCATATTGTTGTCTTCATAGTAGTTTTTCAAAGGACAAGATGTAGACATGATATCTTGTCTAAACAACTGCTTATCTTTAGGAAATAAAATTTTTCTAATTTTTTTCAATGTTTTATCCAAGCTGTTCTTGGGGACTGGGATACAGCTCAGCAGTACAGTGCCTGTCTGGCAAGTGCAAGGACCTTACTTTGAGCCCTTGAAAAAAAAAGAAAGAAAAAAGTAAAATTACATTATGGTTTACATGTATTTGTCCCAAGCCTCATGCAGTCATTGAGGCGCAGTTAGACAGTTTGTGATTAATTCATGATCCAAGCTAGGATTATGGGTCTGAGTCCTGCTGGGATTATGGGTCAGGGTACTGCTGGGATTATGGATGTGACTGCTACACCCAGCTGGGGCAGAGCCCCTGGCCTGTGCACCTGCTTGCAGGTGCTTTAATCCGCTGAGCTATTTGGTTGGCCCTCTAATCATTTAAATTAAATAAAAATAAATATATTTACAATAAGTAGAAATACAACAGATTGCTGGACCTATAGCTCAGAGGCAGAATGCTTGCCTACCATGTGCAGAGTCCTAGGTCCAATCCCAGCCAAACAAAAAACAAAAACAAATAGGTAAAGTCTTAAGTACTCAAGATACACCTACAAATAAAGAACAAAAAGCCCAGTAAGGAAAATCAGTAAGAGATATTAACAGAAAATGATAGAAGAGGAAATTCTACAGGCTAGTAAGCACATGAAAAGATACTAAAGTTACTGATAATCATACACATATAAAAAATTTAAACAACAGTACTGAAAAAACTGTATTAAATACTATGTTTCTGCTGAACACAGTGGTGAATTGCTTATAACCCCAGTGACTCAAGAGGACTGCAAGTTTAAGGCTAGCCTCAGCAACTTAGCAAAACTCAAAAAAAAATTTTAAAAAGAGCTGCTGATGTGGCCCAGTTTTTCTTGGATTCAAGCCTTAGTATCACAAAAGAGCAACAACAACAACAACAACAATAGGGGCTGGGGAGATGGCTCAGTGGAATAAGTGCTTCCCTTGCAAGCGCAGGGGCCTGAGTTCAATCCCCGGTTCCACAAAAAAAAAAAAAAAAAAACCAACCAAACAAAAAAAAAACCACAACAAAGCCAATAAACAACCCCCAAACCCAAACTAATCCAAACAGTATTTGTACTCCTTGGCAAAAAATATTAGTGAAGATCAATAGAGACCCCTGAATAGAGCTGATGAGGGATAGATGTCCTGGCCACTCTGGAGAGCAGTTGGGGGACATCTAATCCTGGGGACAGCCAAAGTACCTCCTGTCCAAGACCTACAAGGCATGAGGACCAGGTGAGTGTTGCCGGAAGCCCCTGGGTGCCTAAAGATGCCCCCTAACTGGTGCTGGCCAGGCAACAGAGCTGTTCATCAGAACTAACACAGAGGCTGTGCACAGAGCAGAGACAGCCGAGGACCGTGAGTGGAGAGAGACGTGTGGATGCATTCCATGCTGTGCCATTTACATAGAATATAAATGTCCTGTGTAACAGTGTATGTTTCATAAGAAAACAAAAGGACAACATGAACCATAGGAGGGTGGTGGACGGTCATGCTGAAGGACAGGAAAGGAATGAAGAGGGGATAAATGACATTAGAAAAGGATGAAGAGAGCACCAAGTGGACCTAAGGGACATATTATATATAAAAGACACAATGCCTTTAACTCCTTCAAAATATCCTCCCTTGCTTCAAACATGCACATCCCATCCTTCTTGCCACCTTGTGAAGCAGAGCTGAAAGTTCTCTTTTGTAGTCTTTGAGATGTGACAAAAAATAGATAAAATGCTATTGCCACGTGCCATCCAATGGAAAGGTGGGCTTGTAGAAACAGCGCATCCTCACCCACCTTATCCACTGGATCTGGAGCCACGCACCTCTGGCTCTTCCCCCAAGTCAAAACAACTGTAAAAGGTAAACATTTTGACTTGATCCAGGACATTAAGGCAGCCACAACAGCGTAAAAACCTCAAGAAAGGACTTCCAAACCTACCTTAAACATGGCAAGAATGACAGGACAAGTGTGTTTGAGCAAAGGAATTAATGGCAATGTCTTTTACTATAAAAAACAAAATCAACTTTCTCACTCACATGACCTCTATTCACCAGCCCACCTGACACATTTTTCATTTTTGTCAATAAACATTTTATAAGACCTACTATGGGCCAGGAGTCAAGAGAAGCCGAAGTGCTGGGGATTCAGCAACTAGAGGCAAAGAGGAAAGAACATCATGCAGGACCATGGCTGGGTTAACCCTGCCTGGGATGGAGAACCCTCAGCACTCCTCATACCTGCAGTGTTTCTGGGGGAGCCGGTCCAGAGAGATGCTTCTGTTTCCACAGGGACATTTGAAAAATCTCTTCAGGCCATCGTGCCAGTAGTAGTCATGCTGCTCGCTGACACAGGTCTCCAAAGGCTTGAAGTGGGTGTAGGCACACTGCAGAGCAAAGCAGACCACACCACCAGTGAGGGGCTCTGAAGGACGGACTCCACAACAACCTGCTCTTCACGACTGCCCAGGTCACTGCAGGGCCCGGGGCCACCTCATCTTCTAGCTGTTGGACTGCAGTAAGTTTTTTGACCTTTTCTCACACCAAGACAGTTTCTTCTAACATATGCCTCACTTGCTGGTCAGGCATGAAATATGACATTCTGTGACATAAATAAGGGCCACAGAGAAAAGTACTATAAACTTCCAACAGCTTTGGTTTGGCTCACTAGAGAATAGTATTAATTACAGACTGTTTTTTGTTTTAAAGGGAGTCTGACCAGGAGCTCTTTGATTTCTTACTACAAGATTCTGAAAAAGATTTAAGATTATTGTTCCTATTTCATAAGCAATAAAACCAAGACAAAGAGACTACCTAATTCACTTTTAATTTTGATCTTCAAAAGGATCAGAGAAAATTGAGAAATGGTAGAAAACTTAGTGTCAGAAGGATACCTGTAACTTGCGGTAATCACCATGGCTAAGATAAATTATTCTAGACAACTTCACAAGATGCAGAGCACAGTAGAATGTTGGCCACAGTTGGCAGAATAATGGCTCCCTAATGTCAGATGTATCTCATTTCCTGAAACCCAAGACTGTTGTGTTCTATGGGCAAAGGGAATTAATTTGGTAGGTGCAATTAAGGTCACTGATTCAGTGATTTTTTTTGAGATGGGTTACTGCCATGCAGTTTAGGCTGACCTTGAATTTACTATGTAGCCCAGATTGGCCTCAAACTCACAACGATCCACCTACCTCGGTCTGTCCAGTGCTGGGATTATAGGCGTGTGCTGCCATACCCACCTTGACTCAGTGATTGTTCAAAAATTTTTAACAAATTATTAGTATATGTTTGCAGTATATAATGATTACATTCATTGTGGGAGTCAGTATAACTTACGATATAACTTAAGATGTGGAAATGGTCTCAGCTTACTGGGCTTATCGGGTTGGCCCAGTGTAAAGGGTCCTTAAAGGTTAAAGGAAGCAGGAGAGGAAACCGGGGTGATATGCTGACAGTTTTGACCTGTTGATGCTGATTTTAAAGATGAGAAGTGGATGGTTCCAGAGGGTGGCAAAAGCAAGGAGATATTCTTCCTATAGCCTCCACAGAGTGTGGTCTTGTCAGCACACTGACTTTAGCCTAGTGAGACCCAAACTTCCACAGAACGTAAAATAAATTTGTATGTTTTAGGCTCCTAGGTTTGTGGTAATTTGTTACAGCAATGGGAAACCACTACTACACCAACTGTGTCCTTTGGGGCACAGTGGAAGTCCTTGAAGGAGGGAGAATGTGAACAATGAATTGTGCTTCAAATTATGTTTCATTAATCCTCTTCTCTTGGTCTCTCTGCTAGGAATTCTTACATTTTGGTGGCAACTCGCTCTGGCCTGATCCCCAAATATAAGAAAATCAAGGTAAAAAAAAAAAAAAAAAAAAAAGAAAAAAAAAAAAAAAATGGAGAAAATTATACTCAGTAGGATGTGACTCATCCTCTTCTTAGGCATTTATAGGCTGTGAAGGGAAGCAGCTGTGTCCAGTAAAAAATATTTTCCCCTTTATTTAAAAACTAATCTTCAGGAACAGAAGTTTTGGAATTGTGTAACAGATTTGGGATAACAGGTCTACAAATAGACAATAGCACAATTCGCACAATTCACACTCTGACTTGAGTTTACAGTAGCATGGCTCCTCAGCACGGGAGGCCAACTAAGGGAGCACCATCCTGGGTGCAAGGACAGCAAATGCTGGCCCGGGTGTCAGAACATGAGAAAGAGATCCAGTGGCTGGAGGGTAAAGGAGGCTGGAAGAACTGCAGAGCTGTGGCTGCTATCTAACAGAGAAGCTCCCCTACCAACGTTCTGCCCACTGAGCTCCAAGGCTGTCAGGCAGAACCCAATCCTTGCCTATCCAAGGCTGTTTGTCTCCCAGACTAATAAATGACTGAGATTCAACCCCTCATTTCAGATTATTATGGTTTGGATCAAAAATTTGCCCAGAGGGTGTGTTGAAGGTTTAGTTGTTGATGGGTTCTGAGGAAGGGACTATATCAAGAGGACTCTAATGTTAGCAAGTGAATCAATTCACTGATGAAATCATAATTTGCTGGCATTATTGGGAAGTGATGTAAACAGGAGCTGGGGCCTACTTGTAGCGACTGGGTCATGGGCATGAGCTTGGGAACTATGCCTCATTCCTGCCGCTTTCTCTGACTCCCTGTCCCTCTCTGCTTCCTGGTTGCCACAGACTGATCAGCTTTCCTCTGCCACACCCCTACCATGTCTCTGCCTGCCATGGGGATAGAAGCCATGGAGCCAAATGATTAAACTGAAACCTCTGAAAAGTAGGAGCCAAAATGAACCTTTCCTCCTTTATGCTGTTTGTCTCTGGTGTGTGGTCACAGTGGTGGGAGGCTGACTGATGGATGTAGTCATGCCAAGTGCGAGCCTCATCATGTGCTCACCGTCTTACAGGTCACCACTCGACACTTCACTTCTCTGATGTTCCTCATTTTCTCTTCCATTTGTTCTTTTTTCACCAATGGCTCAAAATAGGGTTCTTGGAGCTCAGCCTCAGCCTGAAGGATAAAGCACACATGAATACTACATGCAAGGCAGCTTCAGGCAATTCAGTAAGAACAATTTAATAATGATTCCAACAATTCAATTCATGAATAACCATCACAGAAATGAAGTGATGCGTTAAAAGTTACAGGATCCTAGCCAGCACTTCAATGAAGCACAAACCAAAAGTTGCTAAGTAGAACTCTTAAAATGTTAAAATGTATGTGTATGTGGGGGGTGGGGGGACATGGAATATGAAAGCACTTGATTTTTAAAACACTAAATACAAATAAAGCCACTAACAGTACTAGTATTTTTTTGCTGTACCAGAGATTGAATCCAAGGGCTCACAGCCACCAGGCAAGTGCTCTACCACTGAGCCACATCTTCAGATCTTTTATTTCTTTTATCTTAAAACAGGGATTCACTAGGTGGCCCAGGCTGAACTCAAACCCACAACCTTCATGTCTTGGCCTCCTGAACAGCTGGGATCACAGGTGTGCACCACCATGACTGGCGCTGCTAACATTAGTAACAGTATCATCAGGTCCAGAGTGCACCAAAGGCATTGTCCTGTACTGTCCTGATACCAGCTCCCACAAGGAAGGCTGCGAGGACCCTGGAGACAGCAGCCTACCTGTTAGGCCCTGGTCTCCGGAAAGAGCTTTTGCTGCAGACGGATTAGGGGTAAGTGCAGCAGAATGTGGGTGCAGCAGTGGAGTTAGTGCAGCCACGCAAGCAAGACAGCCACAAAGAAGGAGCAGAGCCGGGAGGAGGGCTTGGCAAGCACAAGGTCCTGAGTTTGATTTCTGGCTCTCCACCTACCCAAAAAAGGAGCTCAGCCCAACAGGCTTCAGCCTTCTCACCCTCTGCCGACTGAGCTTTAATTCAAGTCGAAAGCAGATGGTAAAAAAAAAAAAAAAAGAAAGCAGATGGTTCAATGTCCAGTAACAAAAAACAAAAATCAAAATTGTCCTGTTACTTCTTAAGCAAAAGAGGACCAGATCACTAGAACTGGTAGAAACACCCCAGACCCGAGGGACATTTTGCAAAACTGCAGAAGCACTGTTTTGTTTACCCACAATTGCCTCCTCCACTACTGGCAGGGACAAGAGATACCACACTGTAGCAATACGCACGCTGGTTCCTTACACTACGAAGAACTGTGCTCACCTCTGAGCATTCCATAGGACACTGGGAATGAGCAACCTGGTGAACACCCAGTGGCCAACTGTTTTCTATACCACACTGCAAATTTCCTGAATGTTCTGAGGGTTCAGTAAGGCAATTATAGAGCACACTGAGGATGAAGGTATTTTGATTTTCCAGGATAGCTCACTGTTGATCACATGACCAAAGAAAGATACAGGGATTTGGGGGCTGGGCAGATAGCTTGGTGGCATAAGTGCCTGCCAGACAAGCACAAGGTCCCAAATTCAATCCTCAGTACCACATGCCATGCTGGCTGCAGCCATCCCAGCTACCGAAAATGGGGGTGGTGGTGCATTCCTGCAATCCCATTACTAGGGAGGCTGACACAGCAAGATCATTACGATTCTGAACCATGTAGCGAGACTCTATATCAAAAACAAAGAAAAAAAAAAAAAGAAATAAGGACTTTGTACTTTAGTTTCCTACATGAGACCTCACTTCTGTAAGTATAAGCCTCCAGCTATTTCATTATTTCCTCTAAGATACTTGGTGCCCCAGCATTTACATAATGAAATACGTATTTTTATCATAAATGTTTTTGCTTTTCCATACTTACACTGGTTAGCATATTATTTTGATAATTTTAGATTACTAGCATAGTTAATTTCTATTATGCATGAGTTTTATTGCAAGATAATAAGGAAACAATCCAAAGTGTTTATTATTGCTGGGTGTGGGAGTGCATGCCTACTGTTATCCCAGCACTCAAGAGGCTGAGGTAGGAAGATTGCTGTGAGTTTAAGGTCAGGCTGAACTACACAGCAAGATTTGGTTTCAAAAAAAAACACAAAACAAAACAAAAAATATTTGTTATTTAAAAGAGGTACAAGGGTTACCTATTGATCTAGGGCACTTAAAATGCCAATATAAAAATATTTAAGTGGGAAAAAAGTCCCTTCTCATATGGCAGGGCAGCAAACAGTAAATAGTGTGCAGCCCTTTAAACATAAGTTCAGGGCCAGCCAGATAGCTCAGCTTACTAAAGAGCCTGCTTAGGCAGGTGCAGCAACCAGGGGTGGGATGGGTGGGTCTGATCCCTAGTGTGGCATGCCACCCCGACTGTGATTAAGACTGGGCGTGTGGCGCATGCTGTAATCCCAGTGCTTGGGAGGCTGGAAACAGGAGGATCGCTATGAGTCCAATCTGTGTACTGAGACCTGCAGACACCATACTAAAAAAAGAAAAAAAGTTCACAGCTACAACTACAAGCAAAGATTTCAAATAATAATAAATCAACTGCTGTTCTTCAGTGCAAGGACAAAGGCAAAGTTAACATCTATTAGAACTGCTCACGCTCTTCAAACAAACCCAAACAAACTGCAGCACAGGTACTTCTTGGCTTCGGCAAATAAACAGGTTCTCAGTCTTGTGGCAGAGCATCAGGTGTGAGGGCCACTAATCTCTCCCTGCCCTAGAGGGTGCTTACCTCTTTCAGGATGCCTGTGTGCTTTGATTTGGCCTGTAGAATTCTCTGAAATTCTTCAGATTCCAGGTAGGCAAGCTGCTCTCTCCTTCTCTTCTCAGCAGGCTCCAAATCATCCTCAGCTGCAGTGGAGAACAGCGTCACAGGAAGCAAAGGAAGCCAGCGGCCTTCGCCTCACAGCATCCTAGGCCTCTCTCCACCCAGAAGCCCTTTCACCTTGAGGAGCCCGGAGCTGGCAATGCAGGGTGCCTCTCCAGAAGTGGGCTGAGAGCTGAGCCTGTAATGTGGGGGAGTGGCAGGCCTGACCCCGGGGCAGAATTTTTTTACTTTCAATGTAAGAGTGGATGATGATAATAGATGCCAACAGTAAACATCTTACTTATAAACTAATTTTAAAATGACATCCAAGTTTTTAAAAAGAGCAATTTAAAAAAGTAATTCTATCTCTTTCAAAAAGCATAATCTCCACACCAACATATATGCAATTATCCAAGTGAAACTCTTTTCCCAACTGATCAAATTCTATATAATTTTATTTCAATTTCATGTAATTAAAAAAACACGATCAATCTAGTTACAGAAATCCTACTAAGGCAGGGGGTGGTGGTGCAGGCCGGTAATCCCAGCACTCGGGAGGCTGATGAATTTGAGGCCAGCCTGAGGTATACATTGAGCTCAAAGCTAATCTGAACTGCACAGTGAAACTGTCTCAGAAAACAAGAAATCCTACTTACACATTTTATGTATGTGAGAGAACACACACAAAAGCATGACTTGCTATCAGGATGTAGGTTACAGACATTTTTCTTATCAATGGGCTCTCCTGTCCACTGCATTACCTTTAGAAGATGTGTTGTTTTTTTCTACGCGTTCTTTTACTTCTTGTACATCCTGGAGGTTCTTCTGCTTCCTTGCAATGTTGTTTGGATTTGTTTTTGTAAGAATTTGGCCTTTTGCCCTTAATTTAGCAATAGCAGCCAACTAGAACAAATCAGAAGAGGGGAATAAGAATTAAAAAGACAGGGTGGGCACCTACATCCCTGGGACTCCTTCAGACACTAACTAGTGGAGTCTGGCTGTTCTGTTAGATATTGGCAGAGTATTTCTTCATTTTACTTTATAATTAACATAATAACTAAAATTTAATAGCACAGAAGATACTAGAAGTTGATGAATAAAGTTTCAGTTTATTTCAACCTAATATAAACAGTTTAAGACAAGCTGAACTGTAGGCTTCCGGTTCTATATAACCACAAGCCTACTTTGGAATTTTTCAAATCAAACACAGAATAGAATTCTAGTTCTACCCCTGACTGGCTTGCAAGTGTAAGCAAATTCTTTCTTTCACCAGTCTCAGTTTCTACAATTATAAAATGGGGGATCTGGGTGCAGTGGCACATGCCTATCAATCCAGATTTTTCTTTCTCAAAAAGAAAAAAAACAACATCAATAATAATAATAATCATAATAACAGCAACAACAAGGGGTGATGCCAGTGCCTTTTTAAAAAAAGGTGGTTGGTGTGGGTGGACTAAATTAATGCATGTAAAGCATAAACTGTTAATTAGTAAACAGCACAGCAGGCAAACATCTCAGACCTAGATACACGTTATCAATGTGTGCAACTGATGATTATTATTATTGGTATCACCATTATGACTAGTGCAGGGAGAGCTTTGGCATGCATGGAACCTTTGCCCTTTATTTGTGGATAGCTGGTATACAGAGAAAAGCAGAGCACTTGGTGCGAGACCCAGAAAGTACGGTTGGGTCCTGGGTGCCCCATGCCGGCTACAGCAATTTTCATCTGGCAACAGATGACTCCTGTGTAACATTTCCTCTGAAGAAGGACTTTTGATTTTCATGCTGGAAATGGAACCTAGGGCCTTGTGTGTGCCTGGCAAGATCCCAGTGTTGGGGGCCTGCCCCTTAGCTCAACTGTTTAAGAGCCTGCTGGGCAGGGGAGACAGCTCAGTAGAATAAGCGCTTGCCTGGCAAGCGCAAGGGCCTGAGTTTAATCCCCGGTTCTGCAAAAAAAAAAAAAAAAGAATAACCTGCTCTCATCTCATCAGTTTGGTTTCACTGGGGGCCAGGGATATAGCTCAGCAGTGTAAGCACCTGCCTGCCAAGCACAGGGTCCTGAGTTTAATCCCTGGTACCGCCAAAAAAAAAAAGCCTTCTGAAAAAAAGCAGTTAGGGGGCCGGGGAGATGGCTCAGTGGAATAAGCACTTCCCTGGCAAGCACAAGGGCCTGAGTTTAATCCCTGGTTCCGCAAAAAACAATCCCAGTGTCTACCACTGAGATAGACCTCCCAAGCCTAAAAAGGGACTATATGATCCACTACTTTAGTCTGGCCTTAACAATTCCAAGAATTTCTTATAATGCAATGGCTCTGGCTATCTAGCTGGATCTTCCTGGAGGATGACTCCTTTTCCTGATGAGATACAGGCTCCAACTCTCTTGAATTAAAGGTATTATGCTGATGCTATCATTAAATTTCTTTCATTCTATTAATTAGGATTGGTAAACAGCTGCTAGGTGTCTTTCTTGGCTATAAGTGTCTAGTATAAAACTCAAGCTGTGTTTTACTGAAGATAAGTGTTAAAGAGAACAGAAGCCAGTTACCTTCTTAGCTTCTGCTAATGCACTCAGCTTTGGTCGTGGTGGTGGTGACTCATCAAAGAACAGAACATCATCACCTTTCACGATGCCGCGCCCAAGCTTGGGCATCTGTGGGGCAGTGGCTCCTTCCTGCACAGGGAACTCAGTGCCCATCTGTGCAGACCAGGTAGGCAGCTGTTGAGATGAGCTAGGTACCGCTGGACTCCCGACTTCACTGGAGCTTTGGAGAAATCTTTAAAGAAATACACAGAAACAAAATGTACATAAGGCATCACACAGATGAAAACTCTAGAGCTCAAAATGGATGGGGAGAGCCTAGGCAGGTCACCAGCTGTTAACTAGTAAATGATTTCTCTTTTTCAGTTAATCACTGAAACTGGCACATGGAGAACAAGACTAGCTTTACTCACATGTGGGTTCAATGAATTCCCATTGCATAAGCTAGAATTCTTCTGCCACTTTATTTTATATATATATATTTTTAATTTATTTATGTGTGTGCATGTGTGCGTGGCCAGCTCAGCCCACCAGGCGGCGGGGCTGGCTGGCATGTGGTGCTGGAGGATTGAACCGTGGTCCTTGTGCTTTGCTAAGTTTGTTCTAAGTAGGTGCTTTAGACCACTGAGCCATCTCACCAGCCCTTCTGCCACTTTAGAACTGATTACTATTTTACCAAATGTCTAATATGTGTTTCCTCCACAGCACAGACCTGAAGTCAAACTGTGGTGGGATCCTATCCCAGAGGTAATCCTGGGACCTCCAGGACCTCTCTGATCTCTTTGCATTTTAGTTTGCTCTACTGGTAAGAAACAATACAGAGGTTATGTTTGCAAGCCTTTAACAGGAAGGTATTATAACCCAAAGGGTAATTATGTCACATTGCTTTAAGAACTATTTAAAAATGAGAGGTCAACTCATCTAAATTTATTTTACAAATGATGAAAGTAAGGCCAGGTCACATTGTTGATAGTGACAGACCCAGGTCAGGTGCCAGGTAACCCCAGGACAGTATCTCTTCACTACCAACACTTTCTTCCAAGGCAAGCCATAGTGTGGCTTTGCAAACTGCCTATCAAATCCTACCTAGATATGACTTATTTAGCTAATAAGATTCTTTTTTTTTTTTTTTTTTTAATCTATTTACGGAAGCCATTTTTTTTTAAAAAATTCATTTATTTATCCATCTATCCATTTATGTGTGTGTGTGGCCAGCTCAGCCCACCAGGGGGCGGGGGCAGGCTGGCATGTGGTGCTCGGCAGGGGGCGGGGGCAGGCTGGCATGTGGTGCTCGGGGATCGAACCGCGGTCCCTGTGTTTCGCCAAGCTTGTTCCAAGTAGGTGCTTTAGACCACTGAGCCATCTCACCAGCCCTAGCTAATAAGATTCTTAATAATGTCAGACTCCGTTGGGCTTATATCCAGATATCCCACCAAAGCCTCATGTGCTCACAGGTGGGGCACTTGGTAGTGACTGGATTATGGGTGTGTGACACTGGATTGGTCCACTGTTTATTAATGAAAGAAGATCTACCTTGGGTTTGAGCAGCACCAACCAATAGGATTGTAGTCTGGATGGAATGAAAAAGCAAAGAAGGAAGCTGCATCACTTCCTGCCTGCCCTGCCATGGACTACTACTTCTCTGTGAGGTCTCTTTGCCATGCTATCGTGCCTTGGAGCCAGCTGACTATGGACTGAACTCTACAAACTGTGAGCCAAAATAAATCTTTCCTCCTTTAACTCATAGGTGTTAGGTATTTTGTTCCAGCTTAAGAAAGTAATTACCCATGTTTCCTCGAAAATAATCAGCCTTGAACACTGGAAGTCAAAAATACCAGCCCCAATCAGCTCATCTTTGCCTTACCTGCCATAACTACCCTCTTGCTTGGTAGCTACTCTGGCAAGGCAGGAAGTGTGAGACAGATTGTAATGCTTTCTGACAGGTGCTCTCTCTTCTCTACAAAGGTTACAATAGTATAAATACAAAAATTTTCATTTCCATGCTATAACAATATATGTATGTATGTATGCTACCTGGAGGCATACAATAAAATACCTTTATAGATATCTTATCAGCAGCCCAAACTAACCTGCCTGAGACTAAATCTATTCTCTTATTTCTCCAGACACTTTCCTCTTGTTTAACTGACTTTGCTTTTCCTAGAACCACTTGGCTTTCAATAGCCTACAAGTAGGACAGCATGGAGCTTAAACACTGGAGTAGAACAGGGGTGAGCGAAAAGTCCACTATGTCATGTTCCAGCTCTCAGACCTCAAGGTACATCATTAGAAACAGTAGGATAAGGGTTGGCAAGATAGCTCAGTGGACTAAGCGTCTGCTTAGTCAAGCCTAATACAGGGGTTTGATCCCCAGCACCATATGCTGTGCTGGCCTTCCCTCGGGTACAATGAGCTGGTCACCAAGACTGGGTGTTGTGGTGCATATCTGTAATCCCAGCGCTGGGAAGGCTGAAAACAGGAGCACCACTACAAGTGTGAACTGTGTAGGGAGACCTAGTACCAAATACACTTTTCAAAAAAGGAAAAAGCAATAGCAGGATAACAATTCTTTTTACTCACTTTGAGGATGCTGTATTTATGGAATGTGCTGAACTGTGCAGCATAAACATACGTGAACAATACATCTATCATTATTCAGAAAACCTGGGCTCAGGAAATCTTTGATTTGTCCACTTTCCACTTCCATTTCTCCTTGATTTTTGCTTCTAAAATGACTTTTTAGTGCCTCATTTAATGAAACAACAGCAATAATCTACTCATTGGTTTTGCCTGTATATTAAAAAGCCTAGCGGGCCTGTCCTGTAGCTCAGTTCTTTAAGTGGCTGCTTCAACAAAGCAGTCAGGCTCAGTTTGCTGTGGTTCGATCCCCACAACTCAAGCCAGCCAAACTTGCCCTGAAGGCATTCATAGCAAAAAAAAGCCTAACTAACAAAACCAAGAAATGAGACAAACAGGTAAACATTTTCCCTTGCCCAACAATTCTCTTAGATACTTCACTCTTTTGCTTTTCCACAGAGATACTGGCCACTCTCATGTGGACCATCTGCTCTTAGGAGTCACTAGCCTAAGGTAGAAGTATTGTTTAGGTTGTGACAAAAGTGTAGCCAACCTAAATCTAAAGTCATATTTTGGAATCTAATAAGACATTCATAGGATTTCTAAACAAATGTTCAGTCTGCTTCCCTTACCGCCTCTGTATTTCTTCAGATTTCCTCTTCCTTAACTCCAACATCTGCTGCTTCTGCTGCTTCAGGAGGGCTGATGCTGAGATAGACTGGATGGCAGGTTTCGGGCTCCCCAGGATTCCTAAAACACAAGCCCAAAGTGAGGGGTTCTGCAGGAGGTGAGTTGAGTCGGGCATACACGCTACAGCCGGGCAAGCTGACCATACCTGAAGTCTTAGCTTTCGCTAAATGCTTCAAGTTTCTGGCTCCAAACGTTGGCAGGTCCATCAGTTCCCTGAATTCCTCGGAACAAGACAAGCTCTTCTGTGGTATTCCTGGGACATGTAAACACCACTGTTATAGGGCTCTAAATGCTGATCATTTGATGTCATCCAATCTCTCAAACTCTGTGCTTATAATTTAGTTATAAATAAATTAGATGGACTGCTAAGAGAAAATAAAGAACCTATAACTTTTAACATCAGAGTAGTACTTAAGTGTATGCAAGGGTATTTAAGTACATGCTGTTTCTAGTAATGACTAGAACACCTAAAATCTGTGAGGTCATTTCATACATTATTTCTGGAAAGTGCATAATGAAGGATCCATGCTAGGCCCTGGTTACTACTAGGACCACAACTGTAAGATGGGCTTGCATTTTTTGGCCTAGGATTATTTTAACAAAAAGTAAAATATTCTTGAGGACAGAGCAGGAACCTGAGCCTACTGATTCTAAATGCTGGCTATCAAGAGTCTGACACTGATACATGGCAAAATTTTAAGAAATATACAGCATGAAGACACAGCTATGAACATGCTGTTTCCTCTATGTGTTCTGCCACCATGTCTGATGCCTGTAGCCAAGGTCACACTACTGACCAAGCAGCTGAGGAGTAAAGAGTCATCACTTAAGAGAGCAAGAGTCGCAGACATCCTTAATGACAAATAACTGAATTTTTATTTTTATTTTTTTGTGTTTTTAAGGAAAGGTCTACAGGGTTTTCAGCGTCTCACTACTAGATCGGACTCGTAGTGAACCACCTGTTTACAGCCTCCCAAGAGGCTGGGATTACAGGTACGTGCCATCATGCCCAGTCTCAATTGCCCTCTCAGCATGCCCCAGAGACGGGGCTGGCACAGCAGGCCTGGGGATCAAACCACTGGCCCCTGTGCCTCCTTGCAGGTGATTTAATCTGCTGAGCTATTTGGCCAGCCCTAGTACTGAATTTTTAAGCAGGAGAAAGAAAGGTAGGATGGAGAAACATAGGTACCAAGTTTTTGCTGCGCTTCCTGAATGATGGAGCTTGTGCCCTTCACAACCAGATTGGTCAGAGTGGTTTGGATCTTCTTTTTAGGAGCAACAGCTGCTGCACTGAAATGACAAGAGCCCCCCCAGGAAAGGAAAACCCACTGACTCCAAGCTCTACTGAGTAAAGAAAGCAGAAAACACTCTGGCATTTGCACCAACTGCCAAAGTGTCTCAAAGCATCATGTCAGCAGGCTTTGCTACCACCATGGCCTGCAGATAGGTGGTTCATACAAAAGGAAGCTCAGGAGGCAAACTACAGATTTGTCTCAACCCCTTCTGAAAAGAAGAAATACGAAATATGCTAAGGTTTTGATTTAGAAATCTAAAAATTCATTTTGAAATAATTAAGGACTAGCCAGGCATGGTGGCACAGGCCTGTAATCCCAGTAGTCCACAAGGCTGAGACAGGAGGATCACAAGTCAGTCTGAGCAACACAGTGAATCGAAGGCCAGCCTGAATTACAGAGCAAAACCCTGTCTCACAAACAACAACGGCAAACTAAGGACTATGCATAATATAGGATATTAACTATAGTCTAATCACTAACATTCTAGCCAGGAGTGGCAACCCAAAGCATCACCCTGCAGGAGGTCCCAAAGCATCCAAGTTCATAAACTTGTATGGGTTCAGAGACATCTCAGCCTCATGGGGAAATGACCCCAGGGATGGGTACCATGATGAACACTGTTAACCACCCACAGTTGGGCAGATGAAGTCAGAGGTACCCTGGGCTCTATGGTGAGGACCACCACAGCAGGACTCACCCAACTCCTCTCTCCAAAGAGGTCACAGATGGTCAGCTAGGAAAGACAAAACCTGGGCAAGTATCTTCACAGTTAGGCAAAGCCCAGGCACCAGGCCTCCTCTTAGAAGACACAAACCACCACTGTCTGAATAGAAGCCCCAAGAATATCTTACATGGAGGCTGCATAGGATTCTGAAGAAATTCCTCCATAGTAAAAACCATCTTGACACAGTCGCTCTTTCAGGCTGGTGCCTTTGCGGGCAAACTTCTTTGGAATTCGTCCTCCTGAGAAGGTAGACTGTAGATCAGCTCGCTTAGCACTGAGCTTCTTGTACTGGGCCTGGACGTGGTACTGGCAGTACTCACAGTCATGCTGTGGGAAAAGAAGCCATCAGGCCAGTCAGCAGGCCAGAGCCCAGGGAGGACACACCCCTGCCTCCTGGCTAGTCACCAGGACCCACAGCTACTGAGCAACAGGCTCCTTCCTCTGTTCCCTCTTACAGTTCTTGTCCAGCAAGAAGTCAGGCCACTCATCCTTTCCACCCTTGAAATACAACAGGCTTCTAGAAGAAACCTCAGACTTTTATACAACATCATTATTTTACACGATGTACCCAAAACACATCTGACTTTTATAGGACGTCATTCTTTTACAGGATATACCCAAAACAGGCAAGTCCATAAAGACACAAAGAAAGCTGGTGTCACGAGGAATGGTGGTAATGAAATGGCAAAGATTTTGAAAGATTCAAAACTAGAGAGCTTGTGGTTGCATGGCAAAATTGCAAGCTCTGGCAATGGCTCACTGTGTGTACTCGAATATTCTCAAAAGATAATTAAGCCCAGTTACTCAGGAGGTAAAAAGATTCCAAATTCCAGGCCAGCTGGGCAACTTAGCAAGACTCTGCCTCAAAGTAAGAAAATTAAACATAACTCTGAGGTAGAACATTTGTCTAGCATTCATGAGACCCTGAGTTCAATCCCCAGGACCATACATACAAAATAAGTAAGACCAGAAAACAACAACAACAACAACAACAACAACAACAACAACAAAAACACCCAGCTTCTAGCAAAGCTTTTCTAGCTATTTGTAAAGTTGCTCTCTGACCAAAAGCTACCTTTTCAGTAAAAGAAACCAAAAGAAATTAAGTCTTATTGTTGTACTGGTGAACTCTTAGACGCACTGACAATAGATCTTTAATGCATGCTGCCAGCTCTTTTATGATCTCTCAGTACCTAAGATCTCTTTTTTGTGTAGTGTCTTTCTTTTCTCCATGTCTTGCTCACCAGTTTATGTACTATGAAGGAAATGAGATGAACCCAAATTTTGTCATCTAAGCCTTCAAAGAACTCTAAGGACTGCTTCTTGTTCACTAGGATGGGTATAGTAAAAAAGACAGATAAGCCAGACACAGTGCCCACATGTATAATTCCAGCACTGTGGGAGGCTGACACAGGAAGATCACAAGTTTAAACCAGGTGTGGATAATTTAGTGGTCTAGTAAGACCCTGTCTCAAAATAAAAAGGGATGAGGATGTAGCTTAGAGCAAAGGCCCTGGGTTCAACTCCCAATCCCAAGTACCACAACAACCAAAAAATAAAGAGTTAGCAAGAATGTGGAGATGTAAAGAAACTAGAAACTTTATACAGTGCCTGTGGGAATATACAATCACCCATTCACTTTGCATGCCAGTCCAGCAGTTCCTTCAACTCTAAACAAAAGTTCTCACCCATCTCAGCAAACCTGTTTGACATACATAGTGAATGGAATGGAAAACCGCAAAGGCTTGTGACTGCTACAAGCCTTGAATATCCGTGCAAAGGCTTGTGATTGCTTATAGCAGTATTCTTCATAGAGCTTGATGTGGACACAACCCAAATATCTATAAACTGAAGAAATGGTAAACAAAATGTGGTTTATCCATACAGTGGCTATTTAACCACAAAAAGGAATGAAGTACGGCTAAATGCTACATGGATGAACCTTGAAAACAATATGCCAAGTTAAAAAAGTCACCAAAGGTCACATTTTGTGATCCCATTATATGAAATACTCAAGAATAGAGAGATCCATGGAGATAGAAAGTAGACTAGTGCTGACCAGGGGCTGGGGGAAGAAGACTGGAAATGACTGCTAAGGAACCTGGGTTTCTCTTGGGAGGTAATGAAAATATGTATGCTGAAAATACAGTGGGGAAGGTTGCACTGCTCTGTGTCTAAACTACAAAGTACTACTTACCATAAAAGGGTATATTGTATGGTATATAAATTTTAACTCAATGAAGTCAGTTTTTTAAAAAAGCACTTTTAAAAGCTATATACTTTGAGTTAAAATTTAGGGTAAAATAAGGCTTTTAGCATATTTCACCATTGTGTTTGATCCCTGCAACTACAAAGAAGTGAGAGCAAAATGCAATTCTGTCCTCGGGCTCCCATCAGTTGGCAGTAATAGATCACTTCCCGAGAGGTCAAAGTCTTGCTGTCCTCTGTCTGACACCCCTTCCCCCACAGCTTTTTTAAGCTGGTGATTACAAAGCACACATTCAATGATCTCATTTTGACTCTTGCTGTTATGTAAGAAACTTGGTTCCAACTTGGTCATATGACCAAAGCACCTAGCATCTGTGACTAATAACTCTCATTTTTAGCAGAGACCATCCTCTCAGGATTGAAACCAACCAAATTAACTGTCTGTGTACATGGCTCCCCATTTTTCTTCTTGGCCTTACAGGTTCCCAGGTCAAGAGCTTCACCCATGATTAAGATCTTCTGAGGATGATCGATGGATAGGCACACCTGTCAGAAAGAAGGAGGATAAGAGTTAAAGGTACACAAAAGCATGACCTGTTATTAGCAAGAGTGGATAAAAGAATGGCTGGCATAGATTTAAGAAGGCTTCAATGGTCTTAAGGAATTTGAAGCCAGGGCTCTGTAAAAGTTTTAGGATTAAGAGTGTAGAAGATACATTCAGTTGTCTTCTCAGGACCCCTTTTTCCTTCCCCTGAGCCATCAGAATCCTGACTTTATCTGGGCTGCTAAATGCTCAGTCTCAAAGAACAGATCCTACTCCGTTTTCCTAGCTTTCTGCTAGCTAACAATGTCATGTAACTAAGTTCTAGACAATCAGATTTCAGCAAGAGCTGAAACACATTCCTAACCAACAGATAAAGACTTGTTGTTATTCTCTGGTGAAAGCAAAGAATGAAATTAATTTCTCCTCCTCACTTTTGAAAGTAATTTGATGGGGCCGGGGAGATGGCTCAGTGGAATAAGCGCTTCCCTGGCAAGCGCAAGGGCCCGAGTTCAATTCCCGGTTCCGCAAAAAAAAAAAAAAAAAAAAAGAAATTTGAGTACAAATAAAACTTCTACTTGGGTCAGGGTACAGGGATTCCCACTGCCATTCATAGTCAGGTCAGCTCTGCAATTTACTAGAGAAGTAGTGGGCAGTACTACAACTCTAACAAGCTTGAGAAGATGAAAATTCACTTTTGATTTTTATGGTAACTGTAGGTATAATAATTAATGGAGCAAAATTCCCTTTCTGATGCTACCATGGATATTTGAGAAAGATGTAAGTAAACTTAAGCATAAGAGTTCAAAACACTCCAGAAATCTCAGAACTAATTTGTATAATATAAAATCCATTGTTATAAACACTTTAGAGTAGGCAGAACTTGAAAGTATTAGCAGATAAAGAACAGATAAAAAACAAGATTAATGGAGACATTACTATAGAAATTTGGCTTACTGCCTGGAGGTAGCCTAATACAAACATTTTTGTTAAAACTCAGCTAAGTTAGAAAGACAATCAGGGTTGGCCAGATAGCTCAGCAGATGTAGGGACCTGGGGTTTGCTCTCCTTCATGCTGTGCTGGCCCTGCCCCTGGGGTGCACTAAGATAGTGACTGACACTGAGCATGGTGCTGCGTGCCTGTAATCCCAGGGCTTGGGAGGCTGAAAACAGGAGGATCACTACAAGTCCAATCTGTGTAGTGAGACCCTGTAAACGCTATACTAAATACAATGAATGAAAGAAAGAAAGAATAGAAAAGATAAGACAGACAATAAAGCAAATCGTAGACACAAATTTTTACCTCCTCTGAACCATCCTTGGGCTTCATAGGGTTGGCATTCAGCAGCCCCACCACAGTGCCTTGCTCTGTCTTCCAGAGTTCTCTGTGAACTTCTCCAAACAAGAACAGTGACACACAACGTGTCAGATCATGAAGATCATTCAATCGCCAGATGCTAAATGTTTTTCCCTAGAATGAATATTGTTATTTTTAATAATGTTTGAACTGTGTCATATACCACCTCTATCTATAGTTCCAATGCTTTACTATGAAAAAATATTACCCTCCTCACTTAAGAGATGAATGTGAAGCAAAGGAAGCTAGGAACAAACTGCTAGTGCAGTCTACATAGTCGGTGGGCTAGAACTGCCTTTCAGTGACAACACACACACACACACACACACACACACACACACACGTACGTACAGTAGGACAGGAAGAACTAAGGGACTACCATTCAATAACTTACTGATATGATACACCTAGGTAAATGTATCAGCAGGTCTGTTATTTATCACTAATTATATCATTAACAGTCATGAAGATTCCACAATATATCAGCGAATCTTTGTTTAGTTTAGAAAAACAACAAAAGCTCATTTAAATTTGTACAATATCAGAGGTATTAGGAAGTATCTGAAGAAGTACAACACAATATGCTGGTCGCAGACAAATCATGGTGATCCTATGCCTGTAAAACCAGATTTGAAAACTTGGCAGATACTAAGTCGTGCTGCCAGATACAGGGCATTAACTGCTACACTGTAGTGCCTGCTGCCTTTATCTACAGGGACCTCCAAAGGATCCATCAACTCTGCCTCTGAATAACTGACCCTTTCCTCCACAGGAGGGATTAGTGTCAGAGACAATCAGATAAGTCACCAAAAATAGAGGCAAGTAGGTGGGTGTGGTTCACAAAATTCGTCCCAGCACTTGGGAGGCTGAGGCTGGAGGATCAACAGTTCAAGGCCAGCCTGGGCTACACAGAACTTGTCTCAAAAAACCAAAAACAAAACCAAACCAGTGACAAATAAAATACAATGGGAATGATCTGGACAATAAAGTCTAAGAAGCTTATACAATTAGCTCTTTAAATAGGGCATTCTTTACATGCATCTCCTTGAATATCAAGGCAACTAGAAATTATCTCAAAAATTCAACAGGCAACAACTAAGAAGGAGTCCCCAGTGTTAACCTGTGAGGAAGCAGCTCAGAAATCAGTTACATGGTGTTAGGACTCATGTCTAGATGTCCCCCAAAGCCTCAAGAGGTCATAGGGGGCGCTTTTCAGAGGTGGCTGGATATACAGTATGTGATTCTGGGATTAAGGGTGTGGGATTACCAAATCAGCCCATTGATGGCTTGGCCATAGTTTTTAGGATTAAGGGTGTCTCACCCAGGGTGTGAGTGCTACCTGCCTTAAAGGGGAGCAGCCTGAGTAACATATAAAAGACAGTAAGAGGGCCAGTGTACCTGCTAGTTGCATGCTTGCTAGTTACGTGCTCTGCTTTGCCACAGACTACTTGTTCTCTGCAATATCCAGGTCATGCCACCTTCCTTGGAGCCAGTCCATATGGACCAATACCTCACAAACTGTGAGCTAATAAACCTTTCTTCCTTTAGTTTTAGGCATCAGGTATTTTGTCTAAGAAATAAGAAAAGTAACTAAGGCCCATGGCTTACACTATTAGTACTCTGTGGGGTAACTTTCTTCAAAATAACCCCAAACGTCACCCAGTCCATTTCTTCCAGCTTCTCAGTTGCCATCCTTTCCTTGATCTGTGACAACCTAATCAGTTTTCGGCCAACCATTTTCTTGCTCATCTCTGTGGAAGACACTCGGGGTCGCCTGGATTCACAAAGCAATAATTAAGAGATTGTTAGTCAGGTGGTAAGAGATGTTATGGGCAAAAGTCCATAGAGTATCTTAGGAAGTTACTTTTGTAACATATGAAATTAGCTATTAAAACAAAGTTTGCTTTTCTTTGGATATGGATTTATCCTTAAAAGTTTATTTTATTTTTTTTTGTGGTACTGGGGATTGAACTCAGGACCGCGGGCTTGCCAGGCAAGTGCCCATTCTACTAAGCTGTCTCACCAGCCCAAAATTTTATTTTCTAAGTCTTTTATGCTATCTTATAAGATCAACTACTCTCCTCATTAAACTATACAGCTTTATACATTTAAAAAATCTAAGGGCCAGCCAGATAGCTCAGTGGATTAAAGCACCTGCTTAGGCAGACACAGGGACTACGGTTCGATCCCCCATGTGCTGTACTGGCCCCACCACAGGGGAAACTAAGACTTGAGACTGGGTGTGGTGGCAGCACCTGTAATCTCAGTGCTTGGGAGGCTAAAAACAGGAGAATCACTGAGTCTGATCTGTGTAGACCCTGTATTAAATACAAGCTACCCCCCCCCAAAAAAAAAAAAAAAACTATCAGCCCTGGCACTACAAAAAATAATTTAATAAAAATTACAATACATTATACCAAAGCTGTAAAAACCTTTTTTTTTTTTTGGTAAAAAGCTTTTATATAGTATTTCTATAACTTTCAGACTAGATATAGTATTGTTTGTCCATTTCCTTTTTATAGGTAAATAGCCTTTACGTACTACATAAGTAAGAATAAGTCTTCCTAAAGCATTTCATATGTGACTGGGCCTAGTCAACCCAGTGCTGTTCTGTTCTTCCTGAAGCTTTGTTCAGCTCAAGAGCTGCTGGTATTCTGTAAATCTGCTACATGAATGTGCTGCTTCTAAAAGACCGTACTCCAGAGGGGAAAGGGCTACCCCATAGTACACTGACCTGAGCCGCAGGCCAGAGAAGGATTCCATGGAGACCTGCTGAACTGACTCCCCCAAGTGCCCTGGGGACCCCAGGGCCACCCCACTGTGTTTCTTCTCGGGAGTGGTCTTTCCATGAGGTGGCTGTGAGGGTGCATTTGTCATCCTTGGACATGAACTTTTGGGTTCTGGAAAATTTACATAAGAATTAAATGGGGGGGATGCTGATAAAGTAAAAAATTTGCTAACATAGTTGTTTCATGTTTAAACATGTATGACAATCAGATCTTGAAAGAACAGAGGAGGCCCACAAGGCCAAAGCTCTGTAGGTAGGCCAACAGAACTTTCTGTGATGATGGAAATGTTTTATACTAGCACTGTCCCATACAGTAGTGATCACGTCACATGTGACTACTGACCACATTAAATGTGACTCAGTTTTGTGGGGAGTTTCTAACACAAATATATACATAGATAGATAAATAGATAGATAGATTTAATCTCTTATTATTGTAGTTTTGCGGATCAAACCCAAGACCTCACATATGCTAGGCAATTGGTCTACCATTAAGATAAAAGCCTGGTTCCTTCTAATTTAAACATGGGGCTAGTACTACAGCATTAGAAAGTATAGTTTTAAAACATTATTATCCTATTCTGTGACCTTCGTATTCACCATGTGTGAACAGTTACCATACAGGTTACAGGAGTAAAAGCCTCCTCTTAGGAATACATAGTAGATATTCATGTATTCAGCAAATTCTCCATTGAAAATCTCCAAAGCTAATTCTCTTTACTTCATTCTTATTGCACTTCATTTCATTCCATTCCTTTTATTTGTGAGATGGGAGACAGAAAAGGGAACCAATATATTCTGCCATTCACTACACACATTAAACATTCCAAATGTGCTAATCTTTCCTGTTTCAGAAGTATTTAGAATGCTCTCAAGCCGGAAAGCTTGGCACTTTCATTAACAAAACAACCTCTCTTATGAAAGAGCATGTTGTTTACCTTCAAAGGGACTTTGGATCATTGTTCCTGGTCCAGGGGACAGGACAACTTTAGAACTGAACCCCTCAAAGCCTAACTTTAGACACTGCCCAATGACACGCCTTCGTAATGTCAAAGGTCTCATGAGATGAGAACATATTCATAAATGGATAAACTGGATAAACAATGTGCTATGAAATTAATGCAGACAATTAAAGACTCCAGCAGTTGCCCACAAGTGAGGCCAGAGGTATTCAAAGGGCTTTTCTAAACAAATTCAGCCAACAAAATGTCGCTTCATCTAAGCTGGATTATCTCTGGACCCTTCTGTCTTTGGTCTTTTGAAGAATAGTAGCCTTGGGCAAACAGGCAACACAATGAAACCAACACACAGGGCTTATTAATCCTTTTCATAGATACATATATTTTTACTTTTTTGTATTATTACCTTCTATATTCCTGGCAAAATTGTTTCTAAGAAAGGGAAGAAGGTTGTACTCTGGCTCAGCACAACCTGCTTTCAAACAAAACTTGACTTCTTTGTAAGAAATATGTACCTAATCTTGCAAGGATAATATGTCCAGATTTTCAGCATGGGAATTTATTCTAATGGCTAAACTTATTGCAGTCCAAGTAAAAGAAAAAGGCTAACAAACTGAACCTGTTAGCTACTAAGTGAATACCTACTCGGTACCAAAGGATGTTCTAAGCACAGTACTGTGAAGTGCAGGGGAGAGTACAAATTACACCCAATGGCTCTCATTTCCAAGAAACTTATTCTCAGTGAGTGGATGAGAAAGACACCAACAGACAGACACACACTCACAAACCCAAGTGCATGACAGCGACAGGATGTTTTATGCAGAGCCAGAGCAGTGCAAGGCAGTAGCAGGGCCTGAGGAACCCCACCTGGAGAGGTCTTTGGCATCCGGGCTACCCGCTTAGTTCTGGGTAGAACAGGGACATCAAGCTCCGCAGAAAAGCATGCCGACTCCTGAATTCTCTGAACTTTCTTCTCCTTAAGTGGGGGCTGTGTAGTCTTACTGTCTTAATTAAATAGAAAAGAAATTAGTAAAGTTAATTTACAGAGGGGCTTAAAATGTTTTGTACTGGGTTCCCAGGCAAAAGTACATACTATTGTCCAAGTTAGGGGATTTCTGCAGAGAGGCTGGACTCTCAGGCTGTTTGACTGAGGCTGCTTTTAGCTGTTCTTGTAAGGACTTCATTTGCTCTTGCAACTTTCTTAATTCATCTAATAAAATAAAAATATATTGACATTAAGAATACTGTGAGAAAAAATATACATGAGAAAAAATGCTAGCAATATTCCTATTTATCCCTTGCCCCAACCCTGAAGTCACCTGAATTCATTTTTTGTATTAATTTTATACTGATCAATTTTTAATACTTACTAATTTTTATATTTCAAAGAGGTCCCTCAAGAGAAATAAACTTTTAATTTCTATGAATCAAGCCTCTAATATCTTAGCTGAAAACTGTACTACTGAGGTGTCATAAGTGCACACTGCCAGGTAACACTTTTAGGCATCAAGAAATGATTGCATTTATTTTGTAAATTGAAATATCATAGCTAACAGCTATGGTTCAGGAGTGGTCCTCTGGCCCAACAGAATGTGCAGCAGCCTTGCCCTGGTTCTACGTGCACATGATGCTAAAGCAATGCAATACTACTCTGTAACAAGCACAAGCATGGAGTATGTCTATGTGGAAAACATCAACTATGGCCGTCAATGATAGGAGGCAGCCGGCAGGTGCTGAGATGCTAAGCTAAGGGTTTCCCCTACCACTCACACACTATTTGCGCCCCTGAATCAGCAGCTATTCTGATGAAAACCATCAAACTTGTGGTCTTTTAGCATAAGGAAATTGGAGAAGGCAAGTGGCTGGTTAGGGCACCTTGCAGCTGCTGATTCGTTTTCTCTTGATTAGGAGCAGGAGCAGGGAGGACTTTGTTTTCAGCTGGCTGCAGTACAGGAAGTTCTTCATCTGTAAGGTCCCCCACATCTCCAAAGAGAGTGGCCAAATTTTCTTTCTGGACTCCTGTGTTTCCTGCATCTTCATCCACAGCCTCTTCTGTGTACGATTCCCCATCACCGTCAGCATCAAAGAGCTCATCATACTCATCAGGTCCCCCATTTTCCTGGGACAAGCAGCTCCTCTCTTCTGCATGGCAAGCCAAGGCTGACTGGTTCTCCTCCAGCAGGGCTGTCAGCAGAGATAAATCATCCTCTTCCCCTAGAGGCAACAGAGGAGAAAGGAGAGAAATGAAGCCCACCGGAGAAAAACAGCTAATGCCAAGAATGGCTGACTCAAAGATTTCTTATGTGGCAATTAAAGTGAATCTAGAGGGCATTTTCCTTGGCAGATCTGTTGTTCTCTTTATGCCTCTCTTTCCTGTCCCTAGGAGAAGAGTCCAATATTTGTTTGGTGACTAGAGTGAGCCAGCTTAAGGAAAAAAGGAGCCTAAGATGACTACACTTTGGTTCAGGCTGTGCTTGGAAAAGTGATGTCCATGCCAGCAAGACTTAGGAACAGGTGCTTTTCATTGGTCACAGTGTAGATAACTGATATAACCAAGGTCATTACAGGCACGTGGCTACCATAGTACTGTATACTAAGGACTGCCACAAGGGCTGCGGGGCCAGAGCAGCTGATGCTTAGAGAACACAGTCTACAGCGGATGAGCTGAGTATCTGAACATAAAAGCAAGTTCAGACTTCCACCACTCTGAGTCTTCTCTTCAGGTTGCCCAGATCTCAAATGAAGCTCCCCAGTCTGAACGGGTGCCAAGACATCCAGCAAAGTGCAGCAGGCCCAGGCCATAGCAGAAGCCTCATGAAGACAACAGCCACAGCAAAGAGTTAAATGAAGAGACATGTGCTACTTGTCAACTGTGTCCAGAAAGAAAGCCTGCTGAGATAACATAACAGAGAAAGCTTGAGGTTGAAAAGACGAAGCCACTGCTGTGGATGGTGGTACAGGGAGAAAGCAGTGAACTGCAGAACAGCGAGACCATGAAGACAGAAGAGCCACAGTGGAAGATTCCCAAGGGAAGCCTAGGCTGTTATGGGTGAAATGCAGAGATGTCCTCCCCTACCACGAGCAGGAGGGAGCCACCTCCTGGGCTTTAGACCTGAGCTTGGAGTTCACACCAGAGCTACAATCAGAATTAAACCTTAAGTCAGAGTGGGAGGCAGACCAATGGCCCAGGCTTAGCCGCTGCAGAGGACAGATCCTGCCTGAGTTAGGGCTCCCAGGGCCAAAGATGGTTAGGTTTGCCAGTGAGCTTATGGCACACATGTTACTGTGTTTTTCTTTTAAGACAAAAGATGTTAATGCAGAAGTTTTGGGGGCCAGGGAGATGGCTCAGTAGAATAAGTGCTTGCCTGGCAAGCACAAGGACCTGAGTTCAATCCCCGGTTCCGCAAAAAAAAAAAAAGAGAAGTTTTGGTTTTTTCCCTCAACTAAAATGTATTTGTCTTTAATCATGTATTGGCAGCTTGGTGATAAATAAGCAGGTTTGGGTTGCAGTTTGGCAGTCGATCACTAAAAGGTTGTATGAATTGGCAGTCCCCAGAGCCAGGGGCAGAGTTACCGCTGGGAGCATGCCCCAGGCTGGTGGCTGAGCAAAGCAGACTGATAAGAGCTGAATAATGTGCAGTTAACCCTTTCAATCACGCTTCGATCAGCAATTCTAGAAAAAGAAGGCTCCCAGGGAAAGCAAACACTTGAGACCCAGGCCATAACCTGCAGACTATCTGGATGATGCCACGCAGATGCCTAGTTTTGATTAGGAGCAGGGTGGAAGCGCCAGTTAAGCAGCATGTTGGGGCACTGGAGGCTGCATATGGGCTTGGTATTTACTAGCTCCCAACAAATGTGCATCACATGCTCACTCTAGTGGACAAGACAGACTGCCGCCTAGATATGGCTATGAGGAATGTGCCATCAAAGTAAAACCCATAATTATTTTGTACCCATTGTCACTCAACAGTTTGTAAAATTAATCCAAATTGAAACATATACCTCTAATTCTTTTAAGTATTGTATCATACTCTATACTGTCTTTCTTCCTTTTTTTTTTTTTTTTTTTTTTTTGAGGTCTCACTGTAGTTCAGGCTAGTCTTGAACTCAATGTAGCTGAGGCTATCCTTGAGCTTGTGAAGATCCTTCTGCTTCAGCTTTCAATGTACTGGGATTACAGGTGTGCTCCACCACACCTGGCTTCACATTCTATACTAACACTGCACCATTTTCTAATAAAAGACATATGGCTACTTCCAACTTTTTCCATGACTAAGTATGCTATGATCATGCATACATCCTCTTGCATCATGCACATGCACAATCTTGGGATTGTGTCTCGGATGTAGACTGGCTAGGTTGTTAGGTATAATGTACCCATTTCCAATTTCAACACATGTTCCCAATTGTTCTCCAAGAGGAAGTACTCTCACCAGCATTATAAGCAAGTAGCATTTCGCCTCAGCAATATCTTAAACTATTTTTCTCAAAAAGATTTTCAAAAGCATATCACCATTTTGGTTGGCATTTCTTGCATTACTACTTGCTTATGTTTAGGGGAGATTTCTTTTCTCCCCAACACTACCACCAGGACTATGGATTGAACCCAGTGAGTTACATCCTCAGCCCATTTTCCATTTTGTGACACAGTTTGGCTAAACTGCCCAGCTTGGCTTGAATTGTAGATTCTTCTGCTTGGCCTCCCGCTGTGGTGGTGCCATCTGCCACCACACCCAGCTCATTTGTTCATTCTCTTTGCTCATGCCCTCTCCCCCAAATCTGGGCAACATTCCTGTATAAAATCAGATACTGCATATAAATGTTAAGGATGTCAGGCCCATTCCCCTCATCTGAAAGAAAAGGGCTGGAGTCTGAGAAGCTAAGAGCTGGTTCAGGTCACTACACAAACCTATCCTAGACCAGGAAACCAAGGTTTTTTCCACCACCCTACACTCACTCCCTCAGCAGAAGAGAGCTGAGAGCCAGGCTTAAGGACAGAGCAGCAGTGGGCTGCTTATATCACTGAAAGCTAAAGGATTTGTCATCATTGGCCTACAATGAAAGACAAACCTGATCCTTTTTTTTTTTTTTAAATTTTTTTTTTTTTTTTTGTGTGTGTGTGTGTGGCCAGCTCAGCCCACCAGGGGGCGGGGCTGGCTGGCATGTGGTGCTGGGGGATTGAACCGCGGTCCCTCTGCTTTGCTTAGCT